AACTCAGGTAACTTTACTCTAGAGGTGTCCCAAATTGAAAAAGGTTCACGAGTGTTAGTGCCCTATGATCTGAAGTGTTATTCCAACTGAGACAAAAATGCGTGTAGTAGTAAATAAATCACCAAAATAAATAGCTCTGTAAGTCTTCGAAATTGGATGCGGACCACATTAGTTTTAATGGACTCACTTAGCTGAAGGTGCTCGGTCATGCATCCGCACCAGATCACGAGTGGGAACACCGTGCTCAACATCCTCAGATTAGATCAGTCGATCCTCTATATGTTGATAGCCTGTCAAATATATCTTGGAACCTCCTCGCTTCTGTCTTTTGATTTCATTTGGTGGGTACTATTCGTATTAGGTGTTACTGTTTAAAGCGTTGTCGAACTCCAAATACCTATGGCATCTTCTTGAATTTCAAGGAAACTTCGCACTAACAACATTGAAGGGATTTTTTGGCCAGTCTAACGGTAGAACTTTAAGCCTAATCTTTACCGGTATTATTTGACCTCATCTAGAACACGGAAATGAAGTGTTTCCCTCCTCACTCCAAAACGATAAGAATATTCTGGAATGTATCCAACAACGATTAGTAAATTAGTTCGAGCACTCAAACTCGAACCTTGAAAAGAGCGCTTCAAATCACTGTAACCTTACTCATTAGAGTATAGACACCTCAGAGGTAATCTTCTAGTGACTTATAGCATCCTACACACTCATAAGCACCCGCTAAAAACTTACTTAAGTTCGATCCCAAAACAAACCTCAATGGTAGTATCCGGAAATTAGAGACACACCATAGCAGAATGGACTGTAGGTAAGTCTTTCTTTATTCAAGAGCAGTCAAATCATGGAATATTCTCCCGACTGAGGTAGTTCAACCAGATTGTCAGGAGTGCTTTAGAACAAGTGACATATTCTTAAGGATTAAGGGAAATATCTATTCTATCAATAAATATGCCTAGGTTCTTACCTGGAGGCATCTGTGATTCACTGCTGCTAAATACGAAGTCCTGACAGGCGAAAGTTTATTCTATTCCATCAAGAAGCATTCGAAACATTTATGAACCAATCAGAACACAAACAGAGATCTGGCGCAGTTTTCAACTGTCAACTGTGTAACAGCGTCAAAATCATTATGTATGTTGTGTTAATGGATTCTGTTTTCCTTCTATTGCAGGGCGATCGAGAGTAAACGCTCTAGAAGAAGAAGAACAAGCCTTGCATGCACTGAGCCTGCAGGATGACGCATAAGACTGTTTGGTAAACTAACCCCGCCTTTCTGTACACTCCCCGCGAATTTTAATTTTAAAAATAAATCTCTGGTGGTTCCATTCCGTGTTCTCCCTGTGTTGTGACGTGCTCAGTTAACCTTGTGTGTTTGTGGTTTAGATCTTCCAGTTCGCTCCAGTCCCTGCTGAATACACGAGTTACAACTGTTTGCTTTGATGTTTGTTGTCACAACTAGGAACTCTCAAAAGGGATTTTGGAGTTTAGATAGCCACATATTATTTAAACATTAAAAAATATTTCTTTGAAAAATATTCTGTAATCATTAATTTTCAAAAGTTGATATCCACTTTCAGTGAAAGTAAACAATTATTTACATTCCTTGAGAATTTTCATATCTCTCATCCTTTATTTCCAGAAGTTAATTTACATCTCAAACCGCGACTGGTAATAAGTGATGTGTTTGCGGTAGTCGGAACTACACTAATCGCCTTGTACAGACGTGATAGATGAAGTTATAGTTTATCATACCGGTCGGTGACTCATTTACTAGGTACAAATTTGGACACCTGACTTCAAGCCTGTGTAGCTGGAGGTGGCTAAAATGATGATACGCTAAACCACTGCCTCAATGGATGTTTCTAAAGATACTTCGACTGATCAATATTATGACACTAATATTCGGCTTTGAAATATGTTTTTTTATTAGAGGGTGGTGACAATAAAATACCCGAGTTAACAGACTTTAACTATAGTAGATTTTCGTTTCGTTTGGTCTTTGTCGTGGGTGTTTGTCAAGTCGTAAGTCGAAGCGTTTTCATTTTAGTATTTAACACGGGCTTCATCAACCTGGTCACGTTCTACATGTTCTGTTACAATATCCTCCACACTGCCTGTCACTAACTGGTCCTGACGCTAGTTAGAAAAATAAAAAGCTAGTAGCTCAATTGCACATAGTGAAGGGTGGCTGTTTTCGATTATTACCTAATGGTCCACCGTAACTACCTAAGTTAGGTCTAACGATCATATAACTCGAATCGGATATATGCTTCGTCCAGTGGGGATTTTCATTTTGTATTTCTATCAGGTGGTAGGAACTTCTAACAATAAAATGCATCTTGGTTGTGAGCTTACTGAAACTATATTTCTCAATACATTTTTACCTGTATATTGGTCGTGTGATTTGTTTCCCAATCCTTTGTAATATTATTATGTCACATCATATAGTACGTGTAGTGGTGCCTATCGATACCAGGATTTTCTTCGGGCATTAATAATAGTGGATAAGAGGTCAATAACGACCTTTTGTGGAGCTTTTATTCATCCCACCTCACTGACAATTCACTCAGCTTTCGACGGTTGTTTAGAAAGTTTGAACATCGCTTCACTTTCTGATATGTAGTAGTTTAATGTTGGTTTACGTAATAAACCAGCTTATATTCAGAGCTTCGGAAGATCAAATGGTAGACAGCAAATCTTGAGAGATACTGTCGTAAGCTTTTTGTGTTGAACTAAACAGAAAACCTAAAGGTATTGTCCTTAGTTCTAAAACGTTTCGATACAATCATTAAGATCATGTAAATGCGTACATTTAGTTCAAAAAGCTTACTGGTTTTATATTATGCGTAGTACCGCATTGTGATATGGAACTAGAACGTTTCAAATCAAATCCAGTTTTTGCCGATATAAGAACAAGAGCTTTCTGACGAAGAAACACTAGAAAATCATCAATACACTGGCAAATTCTGAACATTTTTCGACTTTAAAAGTGGATAAAGGGTCGGAATTTGTTTTTGAGGAAAGATTTTCAAAAACCGACTAACAAGAATGGTCTTGTTGACGGTATAGAGATTAACCTTGCCAAATCTTCAGGGATGCTCGAAGATTAATAAGTGATTTCGTCAAACTTGCACGAAACAATTAGGGTGATAGGGACTCATTTATCAAGGTTACATGGGTTGTCAAGTGTCCCATCGAGACCAACAGGTACGTACAACTTCTCTTATAGTAATATGAATTGGTTGGTAACTAATTTGAAACCACTACACGAGGATTGTGAAGCAGTGCTAACTATGTCTACCGAATTGTCAACAAGACCAAACGTGTAAACACTTCAAAACAAAGACAGTTTCTAGATGTAACATCATGGTTCTTAATTGTTCCGATCGTGGTGACCGTCGAATATATATGTCGGTAACTTGGAAGAAATGAAACAGAAAATTCGTTTGGCATCATAAGTGTTACTACTTTATCACAATGAATATTTAATTTGTAACGGCAAAATCTACAAACAAAGGATTGATCTCAATGAGTTTACCACCAAGTCTATATTAGCTGACGCGTTTTCAACTAAACTTGTAAACAGTCCACTTTATAAGTCTACTCATGAGTTCAAACTTTACTATCGTATGGTGGATACAGTTATCCCTTATAAAAATAATACTAGTGGTCATAGGCAATTTGACGAAGTACGCACTGTCACTGAGTTCACAGGTGACGAACGTGAAGGTAGGATGTTTTGCTAGCGAAACGAGCTGATAAATTGATAAGGAATTTAAACAAGAAGTACACATTTCTCCAGCCTTGTGTTTCTGCAGCACAAAACAAACTCAGCAAAATAACTTATTTACAGAATAGCGGCCATATTTTCTACCCATACGATCAATGAAAATCTGAAAGCCGTGCATAATACTGAGAAAAATTAGTACTGTGGGATATTTACAAACAAATATCTTGCTACAAATTTTGTAAAGCAGATGTTCGGGCCTCTAATAAGAAATCTTTATGTGCTTGCAATTTAGAGGTTGTGCTGTCAGTAAAGTAATAGTCTCGAAATTACCCAGGATAGTGGGGAGGACGTTAAACAACAAGTTTACCATGCTTATGACGGTGACACATACCTAAGGGCTGATTAACCAAACTACTTAACTCTTTGTATTTATCTGTTCGATTTTTGTGGAGCAAGTCACACTCACTGATGATTCATAGATTCGCATTCTCTTGCTCCTTGATCCCTCCATTATGGGTAAGCGAAATTGTAAAACCGTAAATAGCTCAATCCCACCCTATTTAGCTTAGACAATCAGGATAAACCTCTCGTGTTAGTAATCACCTTCAAACGCCTGTCAAATGGTAGAAGTAATGACTATAATGATCTAAATGCTGGGGCTTAGTGTATATCATGAACATCTCCAGCCTCTTCCCATACTATGTACTTTACATTTTCACTCAATTCATATCATTTTACACTAAGTAATCTTCGACGAAACCCTTCCTGTAATTTTCAGTCACATTATTTTTCTCTTTGTTGTACCCATATTTATTCTGTTTATTTTACAATTTGAGTTTATATATAGACTAATTTAAGTTAGTATTACTTACTGCTTACAATATGAGCAATGTTCTAGTAGCAATCCTAAATTCATGCGCTATAATTTTAAAGAACATGTACGCTTTAAACTTGTTTATTCTACTGGTTCATTTATTTGGTCTTACAACCGTAGAACATGAGAACATATTGGAAAAAACTTTTTGTTCTCATATCTCTTTTTTATAATGGTAAATTTGCGATGAGTTGACATTTCTTTGAGATTGTAATGTTTTTTAATTTCAGGCATCTCAAGATTGGCATCGTGATGCAGCCATTTTGGCTCGCCTCATTAAGGATAACAAAGGGAGTATTGTTATTTATACTGGTGCTGGCATAAGTACATCTGCGTGCATCCCAGATTATAGAGGGACAAACGGTTTATGGACTGTACAGTCAAATCGCGTAACAGGCGTTAATTCAGGTATCAGGTTATGATCAGATTATTAGTTTAGTGCTACCTACCGTTGGTTATAACAAAAATGATCAAGCGAAATGTACTGAGGTGCTAAAACCACAGGTATAATACAAAATATCTGCACTTTATTTATTAGAATAAAATACGTCAATGTGAATCACGGATTAAAACTTCTAAAAAGTCGAAAAATACCAACTTAAAGTTACGACTTCCAGAAGCAACCATTGCGAAGCCAACATTCACTCATATGGCTATCAAAGTTTTGGTAGATGAAGGATATGTACGTACCAACTTAATAGTATGAATTTGAGTTTTTTAAACTTGTTCTTGAACCCCATGTAATTGCCTTTGACTCAATAAAATTGTCTTAATCGTAGGATATTTAATAAGCTGTCACTTTACTATGTACACTTTTAAACTGATGAATTTATACTAACTATAAAAAAGAGATTCACTGTAGATAGCATTCTTAAAGTATGTGTACCGATTGATATACCCTAAAGGGATGGCTGCAATTATGTGAAGGTGTTTGCTTGAGATGTATGTTATTTCAGAAAATATTCGTAGCACAAGGTTTTGTTTTATAAGGGTTTTCGTTCTCACTAGTTTAATTACTATCGTTCAAATGAAATCAAGTTTTTTTTCACACTTTAGTTGGAATTATGGGTTTTAGTGAGATGTTCACTATGTGGTTTAAAGTTGGGTTAAAATGTTATAATCAAAGCTCTATTGTAGAGACTGCTTCCACGAAATGATTGTTGTTGCAGCTGTTACCTGAAAATTTCTGTCAGCCTAAGATGTGCAGAATTACTCTGTTATTACATCTTAGTTTGCTGTCCTGTTTGATGTAAGCTGTTGTTGAAAGCTACGATGTGCAGTTGACTGTAATGCTTGAAATACGCATGGTGTTATCTTGTTGATAGAAATAATCAGCAGTGGTCGCATGTAAAGTAGGTTGTATGATCGGTGCTTTTACTCTGAAAGAGGTCAAGTGAATAGTTTAAATTTCTTCGGGTTTTACTTGTTCTTTACCCCTGAGAAGAGAAAGCTGTAGATCAGCCAAATGTGCTATTTTATGGTTTGATCATTGCACTTTCGGTATTGAAAGGCAGCATCCATGTAATTCCCATTTGGCCAAGGGAGGGGTAGTTTGCCATCATATTTATGTTCATCTAGCAAAATGACAGTCATCAACATCTGTTCAACCCCTCTAGCATGGTGGACTTCATGGATAGACGTTCCAGACAGCCTAATTTGAGTGTTACTGCAATCAACACATGTATGTAAGACGAGGCATTTTTCTTATCTCAAAATTCTCTTAAGCATTTCTTAATTCTTTTGTGTCAGTGACCATTTTTCCACTTAACTGTAAAGGTATTTATCAGTCTAAACGCTCACATGACTAAATTTGTACCTAGGGTTTGTCACTAGCTGTATAAATGTTTCAGCAAACAATCAAATGTGGAATTAACTTTTTTGCTTCTTCATATGAACTTCACTTACTGTTGACATTAGCAGTCATATTGAACTGATCGACTACTTGCTAAGTTAATGATTAACAAGAATTTTCGTCTGTTTATAATCTCAGGTTCGACATGTCGTTTCTCAAAATGTTGATGGCTTACATGTGCGCAGTGGTTTGAATCGTGAAAAACTTTCGGAGCTACATGGTAATTTATTCATTGAAGTGAGTGCACTTGTATTTATGTATAAACCAATTTGTTTTTGAACAAAATGTTTTATGTATCTGTCTCTGGTGTTAAGATTGACTGTTTTCTGTTTTGACACTCGAGTTTTGAATCAAAGTGCACATTACCCACTGAGGTTTAAACTGCTAGTTATTATCACATCAAGCATTATAAAATAAAGGTGGCTTATTACCTTATCCATAAATATCTATTGAGGTGTTTAATTAGGTTTCTTAATTTCAGGTCTCTTAATAAAAAAATTTGATAAACTGCAAACATATATATGTTCGTTTCACGAAGAACTATTTTTGACCCACATCGTTAATGATAGTTTTCAATCTCAATGATCAAACCTTTTGTGCTATCTGGAGTTTACCATTTAATCGCGAATTACATAGCATTACATAGTCCACCAGTACTCTCAGAACGCTGTTTTCAGGTAGTTGTTAGAATAAAATCCGTCAATCATGTACTAATTAGAGTAGGGGGTTGTACCTGTCACTTGAAGTCGAAATGAGGCATTACTATTATAAACAGGTTGTCTATACTGTCTTCAAGAATTTGTTAAGATGTAGTTACTTTTGCAAGTATGTGTCTAACCAACACTCAGTAACTGAATAGAGGTTCATATTTTAAGATATGAATTACATCTTACAATAATTGGTTACTTAACTGTAATATGTGAGTCTACAGTTAGAATTTAAATACATAGACCAGTAAATTAAAATATGGTACTTCTGGTTTTTGTATATATATCGCTGCTTTTCTTCTGTTTGGGTTTTGTAAATTATTTCATCCTTTGTCTAATTATTTATAAGGTGTATTTTGTGAAACAAATGAAGAAAGTGCTTTATAGTATAAATCATATTTCCCTTGATATTTTTTATTTTAGCAATGCATCGCTTGTGAACATACTGTTTTTCGGACTTTTGACGTCGCTGAAACCACTTCTCGTTCACACCATTTCACTGGACGCATTTGTCCTCGATGTCGTAATTTACACCCTGTTGAAAGTACAATAGCCAGTGATATACTAAAGAAAACAGCCGAACATTTAGCAGTATCTAAATATAGGAAAAATGTATCAAATGAAAATCTTATGTTGAGTTACCGATATGCTGCAAGAAAATTAGCCAGATCTTTTGAAGGTGTACGTCTTAAAGCAGTGGAACATTTACGCAATACTCAAAAGTCTGAGATGCAGACTAACTCAGTTCTTACGAAGGCACCTTTGCTACGAGATGTTGTTGTACACTTTTTTGAACGACAACCAGAGATGGGGTTAACAGAAATATATCGTATTCGATCAGCAATCGAAGCTGTGCATGGCCGTAAAGCTCTTCAAGATGCTGTCAATGCCACTTCGAATGACCGTAAACCTTTGAGTCATGGATGCAAACGTTCCCATAAAGAGTCAACAAAATATCTCATTGGATCCCCATGGTTTAAAAGAATGCGTCCTGCTATGAAGATGGAATGTCAAGATTTTTGTAAAACATCGGAAGCAGTTGATGTGAAACCCATCTCTTCGGATTCTCTGGAAACTCCCGCTAAATTAATTGTTGTTGTTGGTTCATCTTTAACTGTTTTGCGCAATTATTCATTTTTATGGCCTTATGGCCTTGGGAGGTGCGGTCAACTAAGTTCGTCGAGCAAACATAAAAAGAAACACACATGTGTTGATTCTGTTTGCAAATTGACTTCAATCCCTGATACTCCTGAAAATTGTCGGTTGGTTATTATTAATTTACAACCAACATGCAAAGATGTGGTTGCTGATTTGGTAATTCATGTTCCTTGTGATGAACTATTTCGCGTTATCATGTCAGACCACTTAGAAATAGATGTTCCACAATATGACCACAGGCATGATCCTCTTTATTCAATCGGTCTTTCTTTATCTCCAGAAGAAGAGTGCACACGTACTCGTTTGAACATCCCATTTTCTTCCGTATAATATTGTTTCAAAATTTTTCACTCTGTGGTGTACAGTTTCACATGATTTGGTTGTAGCTATTGATTACTATTTCGTTCTTTAGATGTAGAATAAACATTTCTCTTTTGTACTCAATACAAGAACCAGTACCTTTGTAAATAATAAGGTACATTTCCATAATTAAAAGAGCCTAATAGAATTGCATCGTGTCATGATAGTTTATTTGCTCTCGAATTAAACATGAATTCGTGACACCAATCGATCAATTTATGAATACTAAAAAGTACATTTCACTTTTGGCTCTAGTTGAGATTATTTTCCTTTTCACTCCTTATCTTTAGCCTGTCCATTTTTTGTATAAAGTTCTCTTATTTATAGTATTTTTTATACTAAGGAGAACTAAGGGACAAAAATATTACTGTAGTGAACCTTGTAAAACGCTATGGATTCAATATTGAGATGTCTACTACGGGAATCGAAGTGTTTCAGGTAGAATTCTGTTGAATTCCTAGTAGTTTGAATATCAAAAAGATTGGTCGCACCTCTCTAGGTATATTTTTCCATATTTTTACTAGGTTCAATAGTTCAAGAATTTAGTCTGTTAGTGTTTTGACTATGTAGCTACGGCATCTGAAGTGTCTTAGTTTACTTAATAAGTTCTTGTTGTTATTGGTTAATCTGTGGTTTTGTAAGATCAGCAGCTTAGTGATCAAAACACTGGTCCCAACCATAAATCTCAGATTCGAAGCACCATCCACCTACTTCAACTTTTCCAACAGAGTTATTATTATTTCCCCTCTTCTCACACGTACAAACAATATGCCTGAAAACAGAGTGAACAAACCCATATTTTGTAAATGAATTACTTTAATAATTATTTCCTTCCAAGTTACATGATGAAGTGAACTATATTAATATCAGACTCTAAAAATAGTTTGTTTGTGTCCCATCGAGTTTAGGTTGTAAATGGTTGCGAAAAGAAAATTTAGAAACTGATTATACATAGGTTCTTATTTTGTTGTTGATAGTTTCTACATTATAAACCTTTCCTCTAGCGATTGGCAATTCTAAATTGTTTACTGACAGTCTTAACTATAATTTCGATGATATCTTGATAAATGTTTAAATTTCCAGTTAACAGGAATCAGTTGTATATTTCCGTAAAATATGCGTAGTTCACACTTGTCACTTGCGTGTTTATCATGTATTCATTTTGTTAACTAGTTTGCACTTCTTACTTGTTTCATTTTTTGGGGTTCATATTTTTCTTAGGTTTCAAAGACGATAAATTAACAATGAGAAAGTTATAAACAAAGAATATTACTGAATATATTCATTATAAGAAGGAAACATTTTTTAAATGAAAAAACAGATACTTTTGACTTACAGCTTAGTAACTGTGTCATGTTAGTAGATACAAACTACTCGATGAGGGTCGACGTGATTATCGCAACCAGTTGTCGTAGAAGTTGGGTAACATAGTCCAAGGTTCGTCGCATTGGTGTGGATGCATTCACTCGTTTTCTTTTATTAGACCTCAAGTTTAAAAATTATCTTACATTTTATTATGTTATTCTTCAAGTTTATCTTTCTCGAATCGTATTGACTATACTTGATCTTATCTACTATTACTAGTACTATTGGTATTAAACTTATTATTTTCGGACTTATCGTAATTTCATCTCGTGCCAATGTGGTGTAGTTTGAACGGATGCACATATGTGCCAGATTCTACCTCGTGCAATGCTGATTGGCTGACTGATATCTCAATGACAGATTACAAGTGATTTTACCAAAATCTGATTTAAACCGTTAATGTTAGGGTTATATACACTGCTGTATGTGGGATTCAGTCTTGTAGGTAAGTCGCTTACAATCAAGAACTCAGTCATCATCTAAATGATATCGGTTGCTGTTAAAGGAACTACCTCATAAGTTTAAAAAAAGCACTAACTTTGTTTCAAATTCAACTTAGGTATGGTTTGATTTTGAGGTCATATTTTATATCTGTTCAGAATGAATTAAAACTTCAAAATTAAGTGTTACATTTATATGATATGTTAAATGCAAAATTTGGTTTGATCGTGATGTAATATGAATGTCGTTACACATACCACCTACAATAATTTAGGTTTGTATTAACTAATTTAACTAAAGTATTACAGTATACGATAAAGTAAGCAAACAGAATGTTAACATCCTGACAGAAACTGAAGATCTATCACCAGTATTACACCAGTCTTTGGAGCAAGTCGCAATGCATCCGTGGTATAAGTCATCATCTAATTGGAATTGTCCACAGTGAGTTGGTATGTCGGTTAGTTTATCCATAGAACATCTCCGTATCAGTAAACTGGAACCATCCTTCTGGCGAATACCCTTTATTTTTGAGCAGTAATGAGCATAAAAGAGACCCTCATGTCCAGGTATCGTTTGTCGACATGGTCGTTGAATCGTGATATGAGCGCTGACTGGATCCTCACATGGTGGGTTACTTTTGTTCATTGACACACAAGAATAACAGGCGATTGCTGTTGCTGTGAAGTGTTTATTAAGAGAAATGCAGCAAGTTTTTATTATATGACATGACGAATGCGTTACATATTTTTAATTACAAAAGGAACGTCTAGTTATCGTCATTATTTTCCTTTCCACATAGTTTCTCTGGTTCTGCAGATTTTATTGGTATTTAATTAGCTTTCTTAGTAATGAAGTGTAGCTTGTTTGATAAATACTCAATGCAGCTTTAAAACTTACATCAGGGAATATACTGTAGTTAACTAATTCTCGAAGTCCGACTAATTAATTCTATGTACATGTTCATGGTGTTATCACTTAGTTTTGTTATGATGCATTAGGTCTTCACACTAATCACTAAACCAAGGTTTCGTTGCCTATTTAGTTGGTTGAAAGTTGTTCACAGTGAAGTGCTCGCGAAAACACAAGTCAAATGCAGCTATATACGTGCAACTGTTTGGATTTGTAGTGTACTAACTAAACACATTCTATTTGTAGTTAGTATGTGTATCTAGCAATATGACTTGTTTGCTATAAATAAGTTGGCTACTTAAAGCAAGTGATACCAGTATATCATAGACTACTGTTATTCTCGTGAACTGAAAGATCCTTCCAAAATTACTAATGGTCAGATCAAAGTTCTGGACAACTTGACATTCGTCTTTGCTCATTTTAACTTTTCGAAGTTAAATATATTTGTCAGAAGTGTACTAATTTTGATTACCATTCCAGATTTTCAGGAGAAATGCACAAGCAAAACATCTTGAAACAAAATATAATAGTAACAGAACTTTGAAATTTCAGTAAGTTATTTCTTAAAATTGAACTTCAGAAAGAATACTGGACTATACTATAGAAATTTTTACGTTGCTGAAATAGCTGATTTTATTAGGGTACTAAATTTAACAACAAATTGGAGCTAAATGTCCATTAGAGTAAAGCTACACCTTAAAACTTGAATTAGTTCAGTCTTATAATCTAGGCGTATTAGAACTCTTATGATATGAAGCTCTATTCCACCAAAATATAGATTTAAAATGGTTCGATAATAATTCGATAAATGTAGAATTACATATGAAAATTTGTCAACTCACCTACATTCGCTTTACATAATAGGTAAAGAACAATCAATGTAATCAAATGGCATACTGTTACAAATGAGATTTTCTGACTACTGAGTTCTTTCATATCGATTCATCTTATCAAATTCCATAACATTTTAAGCTTATTACAACAGTATGAAGTTCTTTAATAGTGTAAATGATTCTTGTCCTAAAATATACTTTAAATGAAAAATGTTTTACTGGTTGATATCGGTCTAACTTTCATGCTGTTCTCATTGGTTACAGTGGAATCGACAAATATCTGATTGGTAGTTTTTATTACATATAGCTTAATTGTGGATTTGTCCATAAACAAGCATAAATACAATTTAACAATTGATTATAATGATTGGACTGTGAGATTTTGCTAATAAAATGGTATTATTTATTCTTTTTGACGAACATTGATAATACATCTGATATTTGAAAAAGTTAATGTAGGACGAAATTGAGAGGTTTGATTATATAATGAAATGAACAAATTTATTTTGATAGTAGTTCTTGTGCATAAATGAGTATTTTATCTACAAATGAAGTTAAATAGTGTCTAACCCAAATCAGATGTCAAAATGTATTTTTATAGTTGTAAAGTTATAAAATGTACTTTCAAAGCATTAAGAATATCTTCACCACGAAAGTTAGAAATGAAATACTTGACAATGATTGGTCTACTGTAACCACTTATGGGATTCGTATATTCACTTCTTAACTTCAATTATTATGTATTCAGACTACAATTAATAGTAATGGCGTACGTTTTCATACTATGCCCAGTCTAGAATGTTAAATGATCTACTTTCATTTACTTACCCCTCTATTTATGTATTAATTAGCGTAGATTCTGTTTCACCAGTTGTATTTTCCTTACTGTTTTGTTATTATTGTAGTATTAGATAGTTTAACGGATTGAATTATCTCCATTTAGAGTTTCAGGGTTCATTTCATACTAAACAACTAATCAGTCAATTATTAAACACTGCGAGTTCATAATAGACATATCAATGTATTTATACATAAATAAATTGTAGTAGGAATATTTGTTCACATACAATAATTAATATACACGTATTTACAGTACAATGCAGAGTAGATAAATTAATACGAGGAAATTCCAAAACGAAATAAATAAAAACGTAGAAATCCGGGTTAAGAGTGCGGAAAATGTTTTATCACAGTATAATTTTGCGGGATAAACTATTGTACACGTCTTCTGTAGGTATTTAAAAAGTGAGAAGAGGCTAAGAAGTGAGAAAAGAATGAAATTATGTAAAGTATTCAAAATTATTCAGTTTATTAAATAACAAAATCAAGTGGAAATAAACAACAGAAGTGATGAAAAGAACGAAGTGGATGGGTAGAATTTTACCGGATTGACATCGCGGAATGAACAAATTATAAATTAGGTATCATCACTTTTTAATACCTTAATTTATTCACGAGTATATGAAATTTTGTAAATAAGTAAATGCGGAGGTGATTACTAAAAATAATATTCAGTAGCATAAAATAAATTGAAGATTATTCAGCAGACTTTATGCAATTATTTTGTTGATTTTAGTGGAAATTCATCATTTTGTTTCACCCCTGTAAAACCATTAGTCAAAGTAGATTTAGGTATCACGATCAAAGGGTCAAGTAGTCGTTTAACATTGATGAAATTTCTTTCCAATTCTTTATGATATTCTGTCTGATCAGAACCGATTAATGATTCATTTAGACGGAGAGCTTCATATGATCTATAATTAGGAATGGACAGAGTTGTAATAAGGAAAAAGTGAGTCAGCAAATTTTGTAAAAGTGGTTGCTAGTTCTAGAAAAGTACAAATTGACAAAAAACTATCAGCACAGGTTTTTATACAGTTATTTTCTAAGAACATGTCAACAATGGTTACAAATGTAAAACAGGGAATTAAGCTTAAAACAATTAACCTATATCTTATTTCCTTAAATACTGTTGAGTTTTTTAGATGATAGTTTAGCTCAAAAGTATGAGTATAGATTCAATATAATGTTGCTTAAGAGCATTTAAGTCTAGTTTCATCAGCCTAACTTAAACACTGTTGTGTTCCTGTAAATGAATCTCTTCGATGTTAACCAAATGTAAAATCATAAGGACACAATTCATTTCTCGATTTTTGTGCTTGTATGAAGCGTCTCATAACTATCAAGACTGAACTAGTTCACTTACAAACTACGAATAAGGAAAAATGGAAGCTATCGAGTCACTGTATGGAGTATTCTGTATAGAAGAATTACATATGTATGGATCAATTTCTTGTTTTTGTGTTCATAAATGTGCTGTACCATAAGGAATAGCGACCTATTGAGGGAAGTAGTCAACTTGGAATACATTCACAAGACTTTTCAGTATAATTTAGTTAGTAACTAATTAACTTTATTATTTCTCTGCAGTTCATTCACTGAAATGAATGTTTAGGCATATGGATTGATTAAAAAGCTGTTTAGACATATAAGATTTGTATTTTTTGTTTGAGGGAGCTATTTTAATCAAGTAATTTAACTGTTAATACTCTATTGACGATAGCAATATATACTGAGTCCTCAGTTTTGCTCCAAATTACGAACACACCTACATATTTTTACAGTACTTTTTGTTAAAAGATATACATTTAGAAATGATGCACTGAAAAATTACTTTATAAGAAATTGTTGAAAAGTTATCCTAAGACGATTTTGTATATCTTCATATGTAGTGGAATTTAATGCTGTAGACGATTTATTCTTATCGGGAATTAATGATTTTAAGGGTTTATTTTTTTCATGTCCCAAGAAAGTTGTTGCCATTTCAACAGGTCCTTGGTTGACCACAGTTCCGATGCATCCCTGAAAGAAAAAAAGCGTAATTATCAATATTCCCGATGAAATCTTACGAATTTAAAAAAAACAAACAAATAACATATTGTAGTAAAAGATTGGTGAAAACCTTAGAGACAATACAGATCGACATTGTAAGTTGTCACTTTTGTTAATGGGCGCTATATATATTAGCATCGTAACTTCTCTTAAATATTCACCTCTGGCAATAGTTTGCCATATTAACTTGTTATACAAAGCAGTCATATTATTTTTGCAAAATATCCGAATGCAGCATTATATACTTTTGTGTCTGCTGTTATTATCACACAGTATTTTACTGTTGTGATGCACACGAACAATTTTTATCAAAGTTTGTTTCCTTAAAATTTTATTCATGTTTAACGTGATTATCAGTACTACATAATATTGTTTCTGTGTACTGTACAATATCTGGTATTTTAGTGCTGCCCGAAATCTGACTCCGATTAGATCGGACGAATAATTGCTATGCAAATATACATGCCACAAACTCTTGTATGTAACCATTGACTTAAATCGCGTTAGCGAATAACGGAATTAAATAAGTCCTATACGAGAATGGATTTAGAATATGTATGTTTCATACAATCGTTGATCCAGACTGACGATCAGAAAAACGAAGCGAATCGGGGATGGCATGTGAACCAACTCGATGTAACCAGGCGTGAAACAATATTTATAGTCAAACAAAAACAAGTTACAGGTACATAATGAATAGGGTAAATAATTAACATGCAATCATATAAAAAAAACAGTCAGGACTAATAGGTGAATAAGTGACAAGGTAAAAATTTGGCTTGAGAAGAATGAATAGATTGGTCTGTCCAGAGGCTAGCACAAACTATGTGGGCTTGACATAATATCAGCCCCTACAGTATAAACACATTTGACGTAGTGTAATTATCACTCAAAAAGTACTACATATCAACTATAACGTGTTCCCATTGTCACTCCCATCAATAAAAAAACCTTCAACAGAGCTCAACTGGTATTTTACAGAGATATTTCTGATCATCCAATAACCATTCAACCTTGATAACAGTATAACTAAGCCTCGTGCAGTGGAATTCAGTCAGGAACATTTGTGGATAGTCTCAACTATTATTTTAGAAGTATCGATTTATAAGTAAAAATAAGAAACCAAGGTATGAAGAAGGGGTTAGTTCATGCCAACCATTTGGACTGTTTTTTCTTTTGCAAATCACCTACCAATACACGTTTAGGTATTCAACTTTAATCAACCTCTTGCTCTATACCAAATATGGAGAATCTTGCACAATCAAAGAAAAACATGACAATAATTATAAGTTTACAGTTCTAAAATGTAATAATGCAAAGTTCGCCTCTACATTTTATGTGATTAAAGTGGATTGTCGAAATACAAAATACAGAAGTCAGTTATCCTAGAGAAATGTTGAACATAAATTTGTTAATTAAATTAGCTAATTTTTAGGTAAACTACAACATCTATATACACACTAGTAATCACGGAAGTTTTTAAATTGAAATGAAATTCGAATAAATCACAACAACCTACTTGTAATAACATTTGTAAATATTTGACATCAGGTGGTTCTGTTGTTAATACTCGATTTAATTGTTCAACTCGATGTGTTATATCTTCTAAAGCAACTTCAATTGGGGTCAGAGTCTGAGATTCAGTTGATACAACTAATAAACGTGTCTTCATATATGGAAAACATCGGGACGTAGTTAGGATGTATTTACGCTTGTATTGTGTACTCAAACTACCATGAGCCTGTCCGTCAATTGTGAACGGTAGAGAAAGAACAAAACGCTCTGAAAAAAAAGTGATAGTAAAATCCCTTCACATTAAAATACTAACTTTTGAAGTAACACACTAAAAATAGAAATGTACCAACTCTTCAGTAAATGAATTCCTATCTACTTACAAAGGTATATACTGGGTTTATATTGTCGTATGGATAGGATGCAAAGACTAGAAGCCGCGATATTACCAGTGATCAAGCCAAAAATTTAGATTCGCTATGTAGACGACACATTCGTTATCGTCAAAAAGAATGAGCTAGAAAACACTCACAAACTGATCAACAACTTCTTCGATGACATCAAGTTCACAATGGAACAGGAGGCAAACAACAAACTACCATTCTTGGATATATTAATCACTAGAACTGACACAGGAAAACTAGAAACTCAAGTATATAGGAAACCGACCCACACAGATCAAATTTTAAACTACAATAGCAACAACCCAAGAGCACATAAAATCAACTGCGTACAAACTTTGTTCAAGAGGGCGAGGACACACTGCACCACTCTGGCAGCACGAAGAAAGGAAGAGAAATACCTAAAGGAAGTATATTTCAAAAGAATGGCTACCCAATCAACTTCATCAAAAAATACCAACCACATGCAGCAGCAGAGCACAAATCAAGCACAGAAATCAACAAACGGATCACCCTACCATACATAAATGACATATCAGAAACCGCAACAAGACTGCTAAAAACCTTCGGGATAGGTGTGGCACACAAACCGACAAAATCAATACAGTCAATCCTATGCAAACCAAAGGATGAAATAACAGAAGATAAATCGAACATCATCTACAAAATAAATTGGGTCAACTGCGACAAACACTACATCGGACAAAGCGGACGCCCCCTTCACCTGCGCCTACATGAACATCAATTAGCAGTCAAACGGCATGATATCTCCTCACTTATATCAATACACGTGGACAACTGCGGACACACATTCGATTGGAAAAATGTGGAAATCGTGGACAGAGTAAATTCTAAAAACACAAGAGAATTTTTAGAAGCCTGGCACTCAGGTCAATCAGCAATCAACAAACATATTGAAATCGATCCGATTTATCAACCAATCAGGAAACTTGTGCACAAATATGGGATCAAGAATCAAACCAATAGGAGACAAAACCAAGACAAAACGTAAACAATGACAAATTTAAGGTCAATAAGAACCAATCAACATCGAGGTGCACAGAACAAGCTGTGAAATGCATATAGAGAAATTCGAACACTTCACTTCCATCTGAAGATTGTGCTGATGATGTCGTTCAGAAGAACGATAAAAACTCCACGACCAAACCATCCAGCTCAGAGAACAAAACTCCATCAAAAGGATAGGAATTAAGTTTAACTCATTAAGAAAAAATTGAAGAGATTTTAAGGAGAGACAGTTCAACAAAATATTCAACTACAAATACATTGCTAATAATTGTTGAAGATGATATATTATAGAAAGTACCACTGTCAAATGGTTCTTTTTCTTCTCCCTTAGGTTGAGTTGTACAGGTCTGTGAGTGGCTTTTTTGAACAGAAAGATTGTGTTGTGATTAATATAGCGGGAAATTAATACTATATACAGTTGTATTCAAGTAAAAAAGTCAGTCAGCAAAATTTTTTACTTCATCTCAAAAGACAATCAGTCCCGTTACCTTACAGAAAAATAATATTGACAATGGTGTTCAGTTTTACTAGTGATTCCCAGGACTCCTAAAATTTGCGTTAGCTTACCTGACTTTTAAAATTAACAACAGACAAAAGGTTTCTAACTTCATTAAACGGCTTTCTTGTTTTGTTTAATTAATCAACCTTATTCACATGTAATCTGTAAATGTATTTATTTGATCCATACACTAAAACAGGGAAAGTTTACTTTATCCTTATGGTATGTAGACTATTTAACGACATACAATAAGCGAGATTGTGAATAGAAAGGGTAGGGAAGATGAGTGTAGTAAAGAAAAACAGCAAAACAATAGGTGGATGAGAGTAAAGAAGAGAAAAACAAATAATGGGAGAAGCAGTTCAATTAAAAAAGCTGCAACTAGAAATTCTTTTGGCTACGGAAATAACAGCCGGATTGGCACTGGTTTTTATTCCGAAACATTTCTGATAACGCTTCAAGTTACTGTGCTATGTATAACTGCTCACAACTAACTGCAAGTGCAGACACAGGTTTTTGCTAGTCTTTTAGAAGCACTTTGGACTTACAAGGTGCAAAGCACATGTCATACTTAATGACATTCATTACCAATTGACTAAGTGCAGATTGCATGACTTGAGTATCAGCAAACAGTAAAAAGACATTTGCACATTAAGGTTGAGAAGAATTTCTCCGGTTAACAGATCAACATCACAAGTATCTACTTTCACCAGAGGTGCTTTCAAAATCCTATCGATGGTAGAGTTAAAAAGGATTGATGAGATTTGGCAGCCCTACCTGACCTTACTGCTTGAATGAACCAATGGAGAGAGGTGGTTATATTCCTTCAATCTGTTTGAGATGTTTATATACCGAACTTTCAAGATGTTAATGAGCTTCTCAGGCTCACCCTTCAACAAACAATAGCAGGGAACAGTCCTGTCCAATGAATTGAAGGTGGGTCTGAAATTGAGAAACATAGATTGTTGTCCTACAATGAGTATAGCAGATAATGGCATTTTATCAATTAATCCAGTCAATATCGTATTTTTTTAGTAAGTGTATATTGTTTCCAACTCAATAAACTAAATGTAAACGAACGTAAATAAATGTAATACTTAGTATAGGGTTGTGGATATTGTTGAGTTTTGAGATCATGAGCCGATCAAAGTTAGATCACTAGTGATCGGTTCATGATCTCAGTTAAAAGGTAATATTGTCAAGATAATCTAGCGACATTTCCTATTATGTAATAAGTAAGTTCACCTAACACCAAATGTAAATGTTTTTATGTTCTTACTCATAACTACATCCGTGTAGTGAATGTGAGATAAGGGTTGATGTGGATCAAAAATGTTAACTTTCATGTCATCCTATGGTTTCAGATTTAAGTTCTCCTAACTAATAGTTATTTTCACTAATAAATTAACATTTTGTAAGTCTAAAATTAAAAAATGTATTTAATACTGTACATATACAACTTCTAATATGTTTTTGACGAGAAACTATGATCATAATATATCAGTTACATGGTCGGAAACATTTGACTTTTATTGAAAAGATCCAATGGCAATTATGATTTGATATTTCTGTTTCATACAACTATGCTACGATTAGTCAAGTTACAGTATCATAATGAAAGGATAAAAATAAAAGAAACTAGTTTCTGACTTACTTAGGCCATAATTACAATGAAACTTAGTTGTACGTCTTCGAAGTTCAAAATCTTCCAAGTATGGTTCCACAAAAGTGATTTGAAGATAACCCTAAAGAAATAAGGATATTGACATTGTCGGTTGAAAAATTTAATACAAAATATCCAGTTGGATAGCATGTAATTCTTGTTTATATGAGTGATAATTGCAGTGTAGGATACATGGTAATGAATGGTTAAGGGAGGATTACTTTACGTTACATAATACCTATTAGTAAGGTTCATGTTACCAATCATTGTACAAAACCATTTACTACGTTCAAATTCCGAAGTAAGAAGAAAACAAAAAAACAGTAGATACCCACTAACTGTGAACAAAATAATTAACTATACTCGTAGTATGAACTTTGTTAACGATCAATTTTTATGTCAATAGTGCGGTGACGATTAAACTGGAACCTAAACACCAGAAAATTTAGTGTTCAGATTAGTTTCATAGAAAACCAGAACTACAAAGTAACGTTTCGTCTTATAAAGTAGTCAAAAGTTTATAATAAAAAAGATTCGGATAAAATATTATTGTTGAATTCATGAGTTGATTTAAGCTGGACCATCATTGAAAACCTGGAAACACTGGACGACCATTATGTTCAATGCTTCCATGTTTTCAATCGTGGTCTAGCTTAGATTGACTCACGAATTCAGCTTTTAAAATTAATACAATCTCCACAAATTCTCATTCTGATAATAAAATATAACTTCATTACATTAAACATACAAGTGTGGAACGAATGCCATGAATAATTCTATTTAAGAGTAGAGAGCACATATATGATCTAAAGCATAAAAAAAGACTACAAATATACATTAGAATATCAAAACTCGTTATTTTCAGACCATTACTAACTTTGGTGTGAAATAGTAATGTATGTATATTGCTAATGAGTCAAATAACGAACCTAATGAATATGAATGAAAGAAACGTTAAATACATACACCATTTAATGAGGAAATGAATGGCTTTATAAATCAAATATTATGCTCTAAAACTGATATAGTCAACTGTGGTATAGCCTAACTTTCTTCAATCTAGAAAATGAAAGGGAGTAAATATCAAATGATTTTGAGAGTAACTGAAATTTTCGAATTGATGTGATAAAACTACTGAATAATACGCTTACTAATGGTAAGAATTACCATATCTGGAATAAAAATATTAGATTTAACTATGGCGGCACAAGTACCAAGAAATCAGGTAGATCATAGGAAGATTTGGAGAAAATATGACGATTGTTTTACTTGGATATTTACTCATTAGTGAAATTGCTTTTTAAAAGTAAAATACATTATTTTAAAAGTAATTTTTTGTAGTGATTTTCGCTTAGCATTATGGGGAATTATGAAGTTGCCGATTGAAATGTTGAGATTATATTAGTGAACTCACACTATTTAATGAGTATGGTTAGACTGCAGATAAGTAGGTTAAGTTCAATTCTCAATCCAAAAAAGTTTTACTAATCGATAACCCTGACATTTTGATTTTTATGGATCTTGGAAATAGCTAGAAAATTTTTTGAACTAAGCAGTGAAAAAGTAATTTACAAAATACATAATTTACTTACTTTATCACTATCCAATTGTTTTTCGTCTACAATATTTGAATCTTTAATGATGACTATCCTGTCTTGACCAAATTTATCTCCATAAAATGCCTACAGAATTACAAGCAAAAAAGGAAAATACATAACAACAGATATGAATTAGGGTTTAATTAGAATTTCCATTAGATAAACATTAAGAATAAACCTAAAAGAACATATGAAAGGCGACATTTCGAAAAACATCGTCCTTCAGGTGAGTTGCATGATGGTAATGTTCTTGTCACTAACTATTACCAAACAAATAACCGTACAAAGAATTTCGGCAGTGATCGAAAGGAAGAATAATAACAGCTCATTTTTGGGAAGAAACATTTAAGCAATAAAATGATTTGCAAAAAGGTATTGTTGACTATGCATGAAATGAAGGTTAAAAGTCAATTTCTGCATTTTTAATCAAACGGCGCATTTCTTTGTACTGGATAAGCAGAAAACCAATTGTGGTTCACTTGAACTATTTAGGTTCACTAATATATACTCTTTTATTAGCGGACGCAGGCTATGAGGTCATGTTCGTAGAAAGTTAATAAATAATTTCTGTCGCTTTTGTAAAAAACAGCATTTGTACTAAGAAGTTTTGATTAATAATTTTCTGGTAGAACCTTTATATTTTTATCGATTTCAAGGATTGAGCTTGGTAGAGTAATTATGTACATAGAATTTTCTGTTGTAACATAATATCTTTGTAGTAAACCAGATTAGAAATCAGAATTACAGATCAGGTAAACAATTAGCTAGCTGTAACAGTTCTTCTACGAGTCATCCAGGCAAGTAAGAAGAGGAAGATTCAGCTTAAGAATATTTTATGTGCACAACGATTAAGATTTAAAATTACGTTCAGAAACACAATCAGTCCAGTGTAAGTTCTGATTAATGACCAGCTACTATTATGTAGGACACTCAATCGATACACGACGCAACTGCCCCTTTCGTGCCAAAAACTTTTCAAAAGCCGTCACACCAGCTAAAACTCAATTTCCGAGCTCCATGATATAATGAGTCCTCAGAAATAATTTCCAAATAATAACACAAATTATCAGTCATCATAACAGACTCCCTAGACATTCGTCTGATGATCAATAAAGTCATTACTCAAAAGGTTACCGATTCATACCAATTTTTTAGCTCTGTAGTTGCAAACTAATATGGTGAAGTGTAAAAAGACGAGAAACACCCATACATTTGTAGATATCGAATTTTATATAATATACAATCCTTTCATGAGAAAGTTTTATGAACCGGATGTCTTTATGTAAATTGTCAGAAGTAGATAAACTACTTATCAGAAGGCAAATATTTAGTATTTTGCATCGAGTTGTACAAAATTATTTCTTTTGTTTGTTTCAACCCTGTTATCATAATCATATGACAATTTTCATTGCTCCAATAAAAACATAAGGTTGAATTAGTATAATTAAGGCTAATCTTATAGGTTTTCGAAGCGTAGCTCTACAAGATCAGTGTACACAAAGCGTTTTACCACCAGTCCCATTATAACACTTTCCTACCAAATTAAAGACATTAGGAAAAGTAATTTTTCATGTTTATTTAGTGAAAACTAGTGACAATCAAACAGACAATGAAGGCAGAAATACTTATAAAAGAAACCCTGTTTATTAACCATCAGGAGCATACATCATTCTACACAAAACCAGTCCCTTTAATGAAGTAATTAACATACATTTAAGTATGCGCCTACAGATGACTAGTCTATCTCGGCTACTAAAGCTATCTCATTTACTGATGAACACAGTTTCACAAACAAATAAGGACAGATTTAATATTTACATTCATTTTCAACTTTGTTAGAAAATAAATTTCATGATAATTAAAATTTTACTGTACTATCAACACTAAGTGTGAACTTATTATGAGCTCGAAGTCCAAAGTTAGTGTTTTCCACAGTGACAGGAGTCATTAAAACAGACGCAAAAAGGTGAATCTTGGTGATCTTGCATAAATAATTAAAAACTGCGACAAAACTCACTTCTTAAAGTTACACAGAATGCGTTTCTACACATAAGTAAAAAAAAAAATCTTACTTGAAGTCTATGAGTGATCTCAGCCAATTTTGTGAATGGAGCTTCTTTATATATAAAATCTTTACCGTTTAATTCACCAAAAATAATTCCATGAAAACCAACACGGAAATAACTACTGAACATTCTTTTAGTATTCTGGAAAAATTAAAAAAGTAAGGTAGAAAAGGTGTATAATTTCTATATTTCTCTAGTATTATCGCACTTTTATCACCGAAATAATTCGACAACATTAAGCTAAATGGGAAAACGGGAATGCGCGACACGTGCAGACGCAACCAAAATACGTTGATATCAGTTCTAATTGGACTAATAAAGAGATAACTGGGAATGATACAGAGAATACAAGTTTCCTTCATATTACTAAAAACCCAAAGATCTAACGCTAACAATAAAGATAGCCTTTTCTACACAAGCGGAACAATAAGCATTATAAATCAAGAAAATTAAATAGAAGTATTCCTTTAGAATACTTTCGAACTCGAGGAACTGCTCACCAAAGACTAATGAGACACATTATTGTGAGATCAACTACCAAAAATTAATCTACAGGATTTGATCACCACTAAAAATCCCACAAACCTAACAATAATTACTTTACAGTGATCTATCAATGTGAATATCTTTGTTCGAGAAAAGGTCAGCTACTACTAAATAACTAAATGGTTAGGTCTTCGTGACACTATAACATGAGTTTGGATCTCATCAAACTCACTAGCCTTTTGAGTTTAGAAACCTAGGGTTTCATATCCATTGCGTTCAACTACCTAATATCGTTAAGATGATAACATATTACTTAAATTTATTATGATAATACAGGTACATTTTTAAAGATTAAGTAAATCACAAATATTGAATTCTATTGCCTTGAAAACTTTTACCGAAAAAGATGTTTCGATATTACCTGGTTTTTATTCAGTACGGTATATGCATCTCTTATTCGTCCATGGATCTCTGCTAGACGTCCATAATCATTACTTGATTGCAACAAAAGCACAAGGCGAGAATATAAACATGGAACTATTTCATAAAAGCCAGCTTTCGCAAATGATTCTGCTGTCCAGGATATTAGTGCCATAAATCCAGGCATTGTAAAATGCCAAGAAACATCTAAAGGCATAAGAGATGATAAATCTTGTAGAATTATCGGTGTGGAACAACTGAACTTATCGAATACACTTGTATTAGGAAAGCCGCACGCACAACTTTCTTCAAGTATATTTAGATTTTGTACAGCATCAGCAATATCTGCACATCCAGCTGATGATAGTCCAGATGGACTACAACCTCGATTAATCATATGTTCAGCGACAATAGCTGTACAATGGGCTAAGCACTGGGAAGCTTCGGCAAATTGAGAAAGCTATAAATGAATTCAGATTTAAACAGTCGTTAGAAAATAAAAAAGAAAACTATTAAACTTACATATTATTTCCAAATGTACGCTAATTGACGGCTCATAATTGATTAGACGCAGATCATAGAAAATCGAGCTAGGTTCCTACATTAAACTGGGAAACTACGAATAAATAGTTATACATTCTAACTATTTGAATCAATTTGTTATTTCACTTCTAATAGATTTCTGTTAAATCAGTATTTAAATGGACTATCACTTAATTGATAATTAGACTAAGAGAGTAACCTGACACCTGTTTAGTTCGTTTATTTCGAAGGCCTACAATGTCACAGTCAGGAAATATGTGAACTGTAAGCTTAAGAAAAACCATTTCGTATTCATACTTAAAATTAAATCGCAGGAAACATGACTAGAATCACCACGTAATTACATAACATCAAAACAAACAAAAACACAAAACATACTTCATAATGCTTCTCAGCAATTTGCAAAATCCAATACAATCGTAATTCCGGTGATGCACGATTTCTATGTGATATAGAATGTAGTAGATCAATCATTGAAAGTGTATCTTCATTCACTGTTTGTTTAAAATAATCATTCGATTGTTCCTGTTGTCGTTTATATACAACATGAATTGTATCTTGTAATCGTATAGCATCATTTAATAAATATTTTAAATTATCTACTAGTTGACTAATTTGTAAAGTAAAATTTGAAGTAGGAATATTTGAAATAAATGGTATTGTTGGCACTGTTATTGGTGTTGCAGTTATCCCAGAAACCGTATTATACCCATCATCATTATTATTCAATGATAATGATGTTAAATTAAATGGTTCAATATATCTTTCTGAATCAAACATTGTTTCGTCATAGTTACTATTATTAATTAATTTAGTTGATAAGTTAGAATCAACATCTGATAAGGTTAAATGTTTTAAATAATGTAATGAATCAATTAAATATGCTTTCATTAACAAAGTAAACGATAATGTAAAATGAATATTTTCAGTATTCATTTTATTATTTGAATGTTTATTCATTAGTGAATTATTTGATATGATCATTCCACTATTAATTAACTTTGTAAAAAATGAATTAAATGTTAAATAAAGATGTACTTTGACAAAAGACAAATTCTATTGTTTGAGTAAAGAAGAAAAAAACAAAACAGAAATAAGATGTTGATTAGTATGAAATTAGAAAACATTGAGAAAGAGTTATGAAATAAACTAAATAATATGGATCAGATTTTAAATAGTTTAATAAAGTATTGAAAATATTAGTTGTGCAATTATAGAGAGAATATTTCTGCAAACTATGAGCTAATCTTATATTATAATTTTATATGTATTAACTAAACTTTATCTTTGATCAAAGTAAACAGAAGAAGGATTCATTGAAATTGGTTAGGGAAAGTAATTAAGCTGTAGACAAAAGGTTGATTATTATTTTTTTGCTCATTTTAGTGATGCGTATTAACATGATAATGAGTCAGTCTTAATTAAGTGAGGTCAAGTATGCAACATAAGCGAGTTACCTACTTCTATTCCTCTAGTATTCATCTTAAAATTCAACTGTTAATTTTACAGGATATATTAATTCACATAAAATTTAATGAAAAATCCAGAAGGTTGATAAGATACAATAAAAAAAATGTACTTGCAATACTTTTTAATAAATCTAATAGGTAGAATTTATGTTTATTAGCTAACCATCAATTGAGATCGACTCAAATAACTATATATTATTTATCTAACATTTTTTATTATTCACTTGGTATTGTTTGGCTTGTATCTTCCCATTGAGGTTTAAGACTACAATTGGCCAGTCTGTTATTGGCATATGTGCATACTGTGCGTATGCCTTGATATTGTCTTAATTCACAAGCTTTTTGTAAGCAATGGTGGATAGTGGCTATTTAATAAAAATCATTTTATTCAATGAACTTTCCACCATAGAGCTTCTTTATTTATTGACTAGTTCCATATATTAAATGAAAGATTTGTTTAATTTAACTTTGTGGAACTATTATGAATAATAACAGTACAATTAAAGTTATGGATATAATTTGTTGGCAGTTCCCACTCTGTCTTTTCAAATCGTATTCTGAAAGTTTAGTATTTCTTTCGATTAATACCACAACATTGTTTTCATCTCTTTTGTTATTATCATGTCTTCATGCTAACCAGATACGGGCACTTTCGCCAACGTATATCTATACTCTACTTTATGTTTGTCTGTCATGCTCTTATTATAGGTAACCAATTAAATCATAATGAGTGATTCTCGTATTATTGACATAAACTACAAGTTCGGTGATTATAACTTGTCAGAAACTATGCAGCCCGAATCTTTCAGTAGTAAGCACTCGCATTGTAACGTATGTTCAAATCATCTAGGGAGCATTAACTTGTTCAAGATTCCAAGTATATCATAGTGATAACTGCTAACTAGCATGAAACCTAGGTTCAAGATCTGTCGACTAGCTCCAACGACTTAATATCAAAACTTAATAAAAAAATTGAGTCACTTAGATCATTCGCCTGATTGAAACTTGGTAGATAGAGTTGAGTCAGCACTACGAACTAAAAAAAACATGACAATGGTAATTGTTAAGTGATTAGTTAATGTACAAGCATAATATCCTGTATATAAGATGGTATCCAAATCGATAAAAGAATAGTCGGTTAAATACCAAACGATCAGAAGTGCTTAACTCATTTTCTATGATATATCAGTCCATTAAACAACGATACTGCTTTAGTGTTAATATTACTGAAAATGTTTTGTATTAATGAAAATAAAAAAATCATCACAGTATCATACACGCTCATAGTTCGTTCATATATTTATGGCAGTACCTATAATTAATAGAAAATAAACAGAAATTCATGAAATGTAAGAATTCACAAGCATCGGTTCAGGTGTTAAGAAGAATGTGGTCGAAAGCTCTACCATAAAATGTCAAGCCGGAGAAAACGTCTATTAACAATAAGTTATGAATACGATAACACATTATTATTTAAACAATATTACCAAAATTCGAAAGTAACCACGTACTTTAGTTAGTGTGTAATAATTTCTTATTAAGAAATACAATGTATCTACAGCATCGTCGCGAACAGTTGTTTCTTTCATTGTACATAACCGTAATAAATGATGACATGAAACAGAACAAAATTCCGGATTATCTTCAAATAAGAAGCTAGGGAACTAGAAATAAATTTTGAAAGAAATCAATATTAACAAGAATTAAATGTGAATTTACTGTAAAATACGACAGTGAGAAAGGAAAATTATTTTCGAAATCTACTTTGAACATAGTGATGAGGGATAAAACGTTTTTAAGAAAAGAATTCAAAGAAATATGTACTCTCGAATTGAGACTAATTTCAGATTGATTGGTCAAACAATTCAGTTATTATATGCAAACGGTATGATTGGATTTTAAGGGTACAACGAATCTATACCGGCCACCCGTATTGTTTGTCTCTCTATTTTGGATCATCCAGAGTGAAATCAAATCAATGGCTTAGTGTTCTGATATCAGACTTGAAAAAAACAGAGTTCAAGCTAGTGAATGAATGCAACGGTTTATCTTTTTTTTATCGTTGTTAACAATGAAACCGATTACGATTTTAATTCGATTTAGAATATGTATTATAACCAGCCAACTATCGTGAGGGCAACTGAGGCATTTTGTTTTCTGATGGTACTATAATACATGCGGAAACTATTTTGCATTACATTAGTCAACGAACGTTTTGTTCTTTCACTCTGACATGAAGACACTGTAGTAACTATGTATGAAAAAAAGCCTGAAAGATACACGTGATGGTTATTGAAATAAAGGTTTCCCAACATTTGCGTTCTAAACCCATGGATTCGCCATATGTAACAGATAATGTAAAATGAGTAGAATACTGATTTTCAGGTATCAAATAGGATTTCTTTTAGGGAATGACTACGTCTTTATCCACTATTAGATATGTGTCCTCAATATGTTGAACACTGATTAGTGACCGATAATTTATTCAGACATCAACTTGTAATTAACAAAGTATAATTCACTTCAAAGGTGAACAACTTAAGCGAACATATATTAAGTACTTTAAAGAATGTTAAAATAACTTACACGTGATATGATACGTTTCAAGGAAAGTAGAATACGTTGATAACTCATTGAGCTTTGATTTAAACCAAGTACATATAAGATTATACGAATAATACAACTGATAAGACATTGGCTTGTAGAGGTATTGTTTTCATTATTAATCGAATTCGATTTCTTATAAGGTAGAATGCAATTAAATGGATAATTATAAAGTGTGAATAAACTTAAGCCAGGTTGACCAAGTGCTGTGTCCGCTTGCCATAATCCCTGAAAAAAATATGTGAGAATATTCGATAAATCACACTATTCAAATAATTAAATATTGAATAAGAAATCATCACTAATGTGATACATTTTCAAACACACGTTATCTACTGAAGGGAAACAATGAAAACTTTTAAAATCTCTAACATATCTAAAATTAAACATGAATAACTAAATATTACGGTATACAACCATCTATGATGGCTAGTGGGATCAAGAGAGTTCAATATCCACCTAATCATCTTTCAATCATGATAGCAAGCTAATTTATTTAAGACAGATTTTTTCAGAATTGCTTTTAAAAAGGAATCTGGTTTAAATTTCTAATCCTATGATATAACACTATGAAACAAACAATAGGTTTATTGAGTTATTATCCGATGACAAATCCATTGAAGTTTTGAGAAAAACTCCAAGACAATAGAAGTCGAGAAATCAATCTACAACTTATCATTGTAGGGCTATAGAGCAATGGTTAAAGCGCTTGACTTTTAGTTGAATAGTCGAGGGTTTGAACCCTGCTGGATCTGCTTCAATTTGAGAAACCATGTGGTGTCAACAGATCGTAGCCGATCTGTATCAAGTAAATGAACTAAATAAACAAATAACATTACGAAATTTATTAGCGCCAGCCTTAGGAATCTATAAATTTGTCAAATAATTTTCAGATATTTTTTATTTTCTTGCATTATATGTCTACTTCAAATATATTTGCGTTGAATGTAAAATGGCATTAATGAACCACAAGTGCAAATCAAAATCACGTGCATAATATCTTTTTTAAGTACTAAACACCAATGACAGAATACTTCACATAAATTTTATAATTATTCTTTTCATTGTCTTAAAATACGTAAGCACTGACAATGAATCTAATTTGTTTTTGATAAGATAAAAGTATGAAGCTTAAAATGTACTAAATACAATACATCATATAAAACCCATAATGAATATATTATCATCACTCCAGTAAGATGAAATTTACCAAATAATTCAACAATGCTTAAACATACTTCTATTGTAGCATCCAATGAATTGCACAAGACCATAACAACATCATTAGAAATCAAAATACTTCGTAGAACATTTAAATCTTGATTTGAGCTGAACAAGTCTGTTTCATTTGAATATGATCCCAGTGAAAAACTATTAGATCTTGTAAGTTTAGTCTTGAGCTTTAGTAAATTTGGACGAGAATTATATTTTTGACTTGGGGAAGTGTTGTTATTTTGATGAACATAAGGACTTGACAAAGTACAATCAACTGATGGAGATTTCAACTTGATAAGTGGATCATGTGGTGATTTTTTAAGGGATCGATCAATAGAATTATGATCTGGAAAGTAAAACAAAGGTTAGATTACGCTACAGTAACTTATAAATTAGATTCTTGGACAAGAATCACACTCTAAGTGTGAGGGCGAATGATACTACCTGGATGACCAGAATGAAGTAGGTGGAGTGCGGTTTAAAACTGGACCTTATGGTTGAATCCCTTAACCACTAAGCAATCGTTCCAGAGGTTATATAAATATATATATTGCACAAATTATAAAAAAGTGAAACAACAATAATCTTTAGCATAGTGATGAAGATTGAATCTTTTGCAAAATATTTCTGACTTGTTTATTAGTTGGAAAGATGTAATTGAACAATGAGCCTTGAATGTTATCTTGTAAAGTTTGGAATTTCAATTTGATATTTATTCAATAGGACTTTGAGATATATCTGATAAGCCAAACGAAACGTTAACCTGATCTAGGTCTGGCTTTTTTAGTAAAAGAGTGATCTACAGAAGTTGTGTAACTTGGTCGTTTATATTTTGAATGAATCATGTTCACGTTTATTTTTGTCAATTTTCAATATGTTATCATGTTTATTCACGGACTACAAAGCCGTTGTCTGCTGACATTAAATAGCCATTCATTAGTGATGTTAATTTAGTGTCTTAAGTAGTTACCAATTATTGCACAAGTTCCTATCGATCAGCATCGTGTAATATTATTTAAACGACTAAGATGTACGTATACCAAATTAAAAAGCCCTTCTTTTGGTAAATTTTACCATATAGACATTGTGTACTAAAATTTACATTACATGATACACAGCGATAGACTAACGTTAAGCGGCAATAAATCTATAATTTGATTAAAACAGAAGTTTGATAAAATGTATTTGTAAGTATAAATTTTTTGATTGAGATATGAAAATACTACTGAAGATCAGGAATTATTGAACATTTATCTCATGTTTTCAATCAATCAATTCTAGATAATTTGTGTTCCTCATCATATTTTGTTTTAGTATTCATTTTATGATAAAAAACGACAGACAATGATACCGATAAGCTTATGTTACTTCAAGTATATTACGTGACCAGTTGAATTTGAATATCAAAACAATGAATATGTTTTGATAGTTTACCTAACGTTGTGGATAATAAATAATTATGTCTGGTACTTAGTGCTAGGAGAATTTTGTCAGCAAATTTTAAATGTACATTAAGTGATTTGATAATGTGGAGAACATTTTGTTCAAAGTTAGTCACATGGTTGCAGGTAATCTGCAAAATGTCCTAAACTTACGTTTCCTGCTAGTTCATACTCGTCAAGCAGGAATATTTACAGTCTTTTAGGAGAGCAATACCTCTTGTGAAGTATGAGTTAGTGTTTCATTCAGAGATTGAGATAATTAGAACTTACAAAACTCCACTATCTTTTTTAGGTAAAATATTGAGTGATGCCATATATCGACAATTGTTTGTATAAAGTTAAGCAAAGACCGATAACTACAAAATATTGGTATATATAGGTGTTTCATATCAAATTTCACTGTGATAATTATAATGACATTTCAGATAATGAAAAGAAACAGTACTTTAGATAATGCAATGAAAATTTGAAGTTTATGAAAACTGTGTGGTATATACTATTGCGTTATCTGAATGTATTCAACATACTATTTGTATCACAAAATAGTACTTAACAATAGAAGAATGTTTAATTGAATAGAAATAAAAAGCAAACTAATTAAGGGTTAAACTTAACCATACTATTTTATGAAAATAAAGTTTAATGATATATATATATATATATATATATATATATATATATATATATATATATATATATATATATATATATATATTCAAAAACATACCATTTGATGAAGTATTTTGATCCGAGGTATTTCGTGATTCATTCTCAATTACTTGATAATCTGAGTGATTTTTACTATCTCTTAGAGGGTAACTATCTTTAAGGGGTAAATCATCTTCGGAAATCTATTAATTAATATGATACAAAAATAAAAGTTAATGATGAATCAGATTGTCATGTGATCGATAACGATAACCGAACAATCCATAATTTAGAAATGATAGATTGCATACTGATATTTGTGTGAACTAATTATATTTTAGGAATATACGTAAGAAAAAGAAATCATTAATTGTCTTTAAATATCAATTTTCATAAGTTAGAAAACCATGTCAGAAGTTTTAAGTTCAATAAGAACTCCAGAACATGATTAAGAGATTTAAAATACTGTTGCGAGTGAATTCAAAGCTTGTTTCCAGTTTTTCTTCAAATAGAAATCTACAGCGTTTTTTCACTAGGGTACACCTACAGTCAGTATTCTCCAGAAAATATTTTTATATGCACTGCAATTAAGGATGAAAATATGGTACATAATTGTTGCCTTCCATATACAATAGAGTTGAATGCACTTTTAATGTTTATAAAAAAATGGAGTGATTAGTGTAAGTATTGAAGGATTTCAACAAATCTCTTTAGCTATATAAGTTAAAAGCATATGAAATTACACCACTATCAGTTCTCCAAATGATTCTCAGAGCTGTACCCTTTATACAGACGAAATGCAATTCTTTTGTAAGACTTCTTTTCTTGGAACTATGACAGATTAATAATGATTTATTTGGGAACCGAGGACAAAATGATAAATGATATTTGTATTTTTAACTTGACGTACATGCTTATTTAAATGATCATTTACATGCTCATACACTAAATTGTTAACTAATATATTGTAGTTAGTATCATGGACAGGCTGTAGGCAGTCAATGAAAATCAAGAAGCACTGGGCAGTTGTTTCATCCTGGCATGAGACTACTCAAATGTGCGTACTTACAAACTTCAAAGGGATTAAACTCAGTACTTTCAGGGCTCTAAGTGAGCCAGTAACCTCCAGACAACCGATTCGAGATCCAAAACTTCACGTTTTTGTCTTCGGACAACTTGTCGCATTGCGTGACCATTAACCGTTGCTTACGGTAGGCAATTGTTTCACTCTTAACTTGATTGAACTTCACTGATATGGGTCTATCACTAGGACTCCAGAGAGTTCGGCTTATAAATGAGACACTGGTGGCTAAATGGTTATTGCTAGTATAGAGTGTTTCGTGAGGATTGTCGAATCATGTAGTTTATATCACGGACATACTGTAGCTAGACAACCACTCAAAATCAGGAACCACAAAGCAGCTATTTTTTTCTTAAGCTTACGGGCTCAAGATAAATAACACTAAAACCATATGGCATTAATGGACTTAAAATAAATGTATACAAAATTACTAATAAGAAAACATTAACAAAAAAATCACTGGAATATTCACTGTTTTATCATACGTGAGTTTCGAAAACATCTACGATTAAGAAAATCAATAACAAAAGCTGATTCCTCTCTTTAATGCTAGCTTGCTGAAGCCATTCATGATAAAGTGAATCGGGGATATATTTAAGAATCCAAACACTAATTAACAGTAATCGTTTCATTGTACTATATTTCATAGGTTTAACAGAATCCAGTTGGGTATTCAATATAAGGTTCACATATGAATCTTCGTTAAGTAGTGGAGAACGGGGTTTTTCAGGTTCTTTGGTATTCGAATTCCCGACCGATATAGATTCCAAGAATTTTGAAGATTTCGCATATCTCCTTATCTAAAAGTTTGTGCATGAGATTAAGAAAGAATATTTCAGTATGAGTGAAAGGACGGTTTAACTGTGGTTTGTAAATAAATATTGAAAAATGCGTGGCAGAAATAGTCAACAGTATTTGTCAAAGTGACTACAGGCGTAACCTTACATAGTTTTCATAACTCCTTGAGTAGACAAGTTGATAACTTTTACAGAGTAAATAAAATGCATGACTTGGCAATTGAAAATCGACAAAGACCAAAGTTATAATTTCGATAGAACAATGAGAAGACGGAGTTAGAATATCATCCATGTATCTTCTGTAAAAGTTGCCTTGCTAATGAGCTCGCTCGTCGTATTTCTACATATGTCATAAATAGATCATCTAAGAGAGGGTCCAAAGGGCTATCCATAGCTACACCACCAACTTGTCGAAAATATTCAACATCAAACGTGAATTGAACATTGGCACGAATGTACCGTTAACAAAGACGGTGGATTTCCTTTGTGACTATATATCTACAAATTTTCCCCTTTTTCCTTTCCGATTACCATTTTTGAAAGAATTACTTTTATTATGTACTGCTAATGTTCAATTTACATTTGATGTTGAATACTTTCGACAAGTTGATGGTGAAGCTATGCGTAGCCCTTTGGACCCGCTCTTAGATGATTTATTTATGTTATATGTAGAAAATATGACGAGTGAGCTCATTAGCGAGGCAACTGTCTACAGAAGATACATGGATGATATTCTAATTATATGTGATAAAGATTTCGGTGTCTACCGGTTATTAGATAAACTCAATGAGGTTCAAGACGATATTGTGATGAAATATGAAGCAGAAAATAATGGTTAACTGGCCTTTTTAGACATACATTTAGGTCGAAGGGAGGATGACACTATAAGACGGTCAGTGTATAGGAAACCAACCTGGACGGGACAATACTTGAATTTCCATAGTTTCTGTCCATTGCAATACGAGTGAGGCTTGGTTAAGTGTCTCTTTAAAAAGACTCAGAAGTTTGTACTTCTGACACGGTGGAAAAAGATGAAAAGTTACTGACTGACACATTAATAGCAAATGGTTATCCACAAAATTTATTAATACGTGAAAAAGTCAGTTAATGCCAAGACTTTTTGTTTATTCAGTTTCAAAGAGAAAAATTTATATCCATCTACCACATACAGGTGAATCAAACAGTATAGTTTTAAGACAGTAATTGAAAGCGGCCATCAAGAAAACCTATTATGCTGCTCAATTGGTTGTGATTGAAAAGTATAAGCCCATGATTCCAAATAGACCTAGACATGCACTAATGATTACGTCACATCCCATTGTATTTACCAATTCGCATGTTTATGTGGACACGCATACATAGGAAGGAGTAAACGAACAATGCAATCAAGGGTCATTGAACATGTGCTTAGATGGCTTCAAAATCAATGCGTGTCAAATGATCCGATGGATGTGGGAGGTAGAAAACCAGGTTTATCCATAGCGAAACATATAATTGAAACGGGGCAGAAAATTGACGTTATTACAGCTTTTAGAACGTTTATTGAAACCTTGGCTATTCGTAAATTCGAACCCCCATTATGTGTACAAAAACAATTTTTCGTAACCTTGAATTGACCTTGGTAACCCTTAAGTCATTCTTATAGCCTAAGATAACGCGACAATTTCTTATTCTTTCTATATGTGGTAAAATTGTTTCTCTTCCCTTTGTTACTTTTTTACTTGGACTTTTATTTAATTGACCTTTATTAATTTGACAGTAGTCTGTTGAATGAATCTCCAGACAATAAGCATAAAGAATAATACTATTAACAAGCTTTACATATAGACTTGAAGCTGAATCCGGAATTATGAAAAATTAATTTTTGAGTAAAAATGATTGCAAATTGATGACTTATGATTTTTCGGCTTAGAAAGTTAGCTACTTACAAGTAGTAAAGTGTTGTATGAAAAAATATAGTAGGAGGAACTGGGTAGAAATGCAGCTTGAATTATATATTACTCCATTAGCCACTAAAATATAGATTTTTTTTCAAAACAAATTTACATTTGTCAACTTAAAATGACTTGCTAGACAAAACTAAAATATAGTACTAAATACTGAATCACTTCCTTATATATTTTTTTTACATCATCAGAGAGGCGATGAATGTTGTTTAGTTTCTGAAAAAGGATACAAAATTCACGACTGAAGTTAAAAAGAAGCTTGAATCATGGAAAAGTATTAAAGATTTAGATTTTACTTCTATTTAAATCGTCACTAATTTATCCATAAATGTGTATTCTGAAAAAAGATATTCAAGATAGTCAGTTACTAAACCAAGCATATTAGAATGATTCTGCTTTCCATTCACATGGTAAAAACCTAAACATCACAAGAGATTTGGAGGTGCTTGATTTCTGAGGTGTTGATTTACTAGCTCAAAGAACACTTCATCACAAAATACTTTCTAATTGGAAAGAGTAAGGGTAATTAAAATGATTTTGTGCGGAAGCCGCATTAATTGAACGCTATGACTATCATGAAACATGTACGAATAGCCTGTGAGGACGATTACAATGTAAGAGACAATATATAAAAGAACGAAATTGTAGACGATATGCAAGTGATACATAAATTCATGCTTTCGGATAATAGGAAGCATTATTTGACAACGTGTATGGTGATAATGAAAATAATAAAGGATTATCTGAACACTGAATGATATAATTAGGAAGTACGTCTGAAATGGATATAGAATTACAAATAGAAAATACTCGAACAAGCAAGATAATCAATCGATAAACATACACGTCTCATTCTTCCGGAAGCTCGAACTGTTGAGCAAGAATCATTTGATGAATTAGGAACTACTTTATCTGCTGTTGTATTATTTGTAAATTGTTGTTTAGGTTTAAGAAATTCAATGTCAGTAGAGCGATTTGATCGAAATCGGTTTAAATGCCATGTTTTAACAAGACATGGCAAAGCACTGCACGTAATATTAAGTATTGGGGAATAAAAGTAAGTGAGTTGAGATAGATTAGAAATCGATTGAGATGAAGAATTATCTTCTAGTGTCTCTTTTTCGAGATCCAATTCATTATTTAATAGAATGTTCCAAAGAACATCAACTCCGCGTCTTTGTAGGTCAGAGTCCCTGTTAAAAGGGAAAACATAAAAGAGGAATCTAAATAATCTTTTAATTTACAAGTTCAAAGTTAAATATTTACCTAATGCTTGAGGTATAGACTCCATAGGTTGCTAAAATATATATAAACGATACAACTAACTAGCCCTGTTTTACAATAATTTGAATATGTTTTGTAGGTTTAAGTGATATAATTAATTATTTTGATTACCATAATAGAAATGAAGGAGTAAAAGGAAACTGAAAATAGAGTTCCGAATATTCTAGGATAATGAAACGAAGACCGTTAAAACTATTAGGAATGAAATAACTTCACCAGCATATCAACAAATAATATCAAGATGAAAAACGTATTTGAATAGTCATTTATAGATGGTATAGATATGAATATACTACTTGTTATTCATTTATTACTCTGAGTTGTGAAGAACAAAATGTATTGGTGAACAAAATTACCAATATTACATTAGGAATAAAAATTTTGGACACTTAAATGTTTTACTAATGATTTTTTAATTAAATACACCTATGATGCTAATATTCTAATCGTTTACGCTTTTTAATGGTAATTAGACTGGAAAAGATTTATCGCTCGACATATTCACGTTTAGTAGATAATTCGTAAAAGATAAAACTGATCTAACTAAATGAGTCTATGGAATGTTTCGCGGTTTTCTGCTGAATTTATTTTTCTGATCAGTAAAATTTTAATGATACACGGTTGGTAAAAACTAATATAATCAACAGTTGGGTATAAAAAATACCGGTACTTTATATCACTAACTGAATTTAACCAGACATCCATTAGAAACTGAGATGCTATGGACAGCTGTGTCGTTCTAACACGGGACTCCTGACAAATGAACACTAATGACCACACCAGGGATTGAACCAAAATACTTTAGGCTTAGATATGAACATGTCAACGTTAGGCCAATATAGTGAGAACTAATTATCAACATTTCTAAATGCAAACAATTCACCATATAGTATACCAACAGTTCATTGTTATCAGTGTTACTTGTCCTAGACAGTCATTGAGTGCACTTCTGAAGCGCCCTACACTAGAACGAAACTCCTATCCAGTGTCTCTTGATTCTTAAGCTAACGTTAGTGAAATATAAATAGAACAATAAGCGTAAACATTCTATGCTAACATATCAGAATGGTTTCCAAGATATTATTGTAAAAATGCTATTTTTCTATATGATACCTTATTGTACACTGAATTATAGTTTCTTATCTAAGTACAATTTCTGATTTCAGATTTACTAGTATCAAGTGAATGAAAAATATTCATCCCTTATTCATTCTGATATTTCTCAAGTCATTATTTAAGGTGAATAAAGCCACTCTTATTTAGTTTACAAATAACTTCATATGAGTGAATTTCAATTATTCGATTCAGAAGGGTTTAGGTGAACATTTTTTAAAATAACAATTAGAAAAACGAAAACTTGTCGAATTATAACTTACTCAGATGTTAAAGCTGTGATCAATTCACAAATAACTAGTGAAATAAGAAAATGTCTATTGAAGACATTCACATTATTTATACCTAAACTTTTTGCATTATAATCATCAGTGTGATAATGTTGACGATGATTATCTTCAGTTCCATAGAATTCTGGTTCAATAGTAGCTAACGGAATATAATTTGATTTTAGATAAGGCTTTGTTTGATGATTTTTTTTGCATAAGGATAATTGCTTATAACTTTGAAGTAATCGTTCACAATTTACTGGTAATAAGTTATTAAAATTAACATTGTCGTTATTGCAATCATTCAACAGGTAAAATGCTTTATGTGAACAAATTATTTGTAATAAATCTAATTTGAAATAATTTAATAATTTATCACTTGGAGTTTGAGTTAATTCTGCATCTGAGAGTAGTTGATCAATCTGTATTGGTGGGAAAAATAAAAGCAAATATACATTATCACTATAGGGTTGTGGCGATTGATGAGTTTCAATTGATATAATGAATCGATCAATGTTAGACCACCATTGAAAATTTGTAAGCACAGAACGGCCGTTTCGTCATAGTATGGGACTCCTCAACAGTGCTCACCCACGATCAATTACGCGAGACAGAAGGTTCTGGTTCTTGGTGACCTTGTTACCTATCATTAAAAGAAGGATGACACTAACTTGGGAAAAACAATTAGGGGAGATAAGTGTTACACTTTGTAACATAAACCTATGATATATGAACACAAATGATTGATAAGAGTAGATTTTATTTTGTACGACGTTAAGAAGATGGAAAGACAAGTAGATGGTAGTACATTATGTTAAATATACCAAGAGGATTACAAAAGTAACTTAATGCGATGTAGAGGCATGTGTTCTCAATGACGCTTTTATCATATGATCAATATTAAATAATCTCATAAGTAAAATTACAAAATTTTTCACATACTTCTAATAATCCGATAACAGCTTAAATAAAGCACCTACACATCTGAAAGTTGTTCTGACAACATACAAATAAGAATAGCAACAGAAAATAAAATTTGTGAAATTTTGAACCTTTTAACAACACAACAAATTACTAACATGAACTACAACTGTTTCAACCTTACCATAATTAACGATTCACATGTACATATATTATTATTATTATTATTATTATTATTATTATTATTATTATTATTATTATTGGTAGTAGTAGTACTATATTATTGTTTTGGATTATTTTCATTCCACTTCAAGTATAAACTGAAAAATGAATACATTGTAGAAAATTCTATTTGCTAATTTTAAGGCAATAATAATAATTTATTACCAAACACAAAGAAAAATTTAATCATTCATTGATAAACTTCAAATGAATTCCAAACCCACTCACTTTATTCCAATAATTTGTTATTTCAGAAAAAATATACTCGATAGGTAGAAATGAGAAAAGATCGTAAAGGAAAAATGAGAATATTTGATTGTTTAGTCGATACGATTCCCACTGAGTTGAATCTGTTAAAATAAAAATAACATGGTAAAAAGAAATAGAATTTGTTAACAATTCAAAAAAAGATAATTTGCGTATTAGGTCTTAGTTTATGTAATTGACCATGACGTAACATATCTTGTTGCCTAAAAAGTAATGATAATACCGATTTTCCTAAACCGAGTTAAGTCAAATAGAGTTTCGGCTTGTAATTTACTGGTTAAAAGTAGAGTACTTTGAACACTAAGCCATTCCTTCGTCACTCACAGATATGACATGAAATTTAAGGAAATAGAAATGACCAAAGCTTAAAACAACTATACAAACATGCAAATTCCAAACTAATGAAACTAATATCTAATCTGTTTGTTGATATTCCTTACTGCATAATCATGAATACCATCAGAACATTACTGCAGGAATCTTACCTATTAGAAATTTGTGTTCATTCAAACAAACAGAACGGAAGGAAAGTGATCAATTTAATTTCAATACATTGATTACAACTACCGTTGAAATATATTTTATGAAATACATTTAGTTTTAATGGAATTATCGTTAATTTGTTACTTATAATAATTAAACACTTTAAGGATTTTTAGCCTTGTTGTAAAATCGAAGTATGCCGTAATAAAAATAGTTTTAAAGGAATGTTAAACTACTTCATTATTAAATAAGAATGAAAGAGCAGAATCAATAGAATGAAATGTGAACCCCAGATTCCATTGCTCGCCACCATGTAGATCATTGTATTTTCATAGTCTTCGTTATTTATTTAAATATATAAATATTGGTAAAAAGGGGCACCAACAAGATATGCACCAAATAAATCATTCGATTTGCGTGAGGGCTAAGATACTGTCCGGGTGTTCAAACCGAAGCAGATGGTTTTATTAGGGAGTCACACCCCGAGCCTTTGACTTAATCCACGAAGCAGTTAATCAACGTTAGAAGATGCAGGTCTCATGGTAATCGGTGATCAACAATAGGTCTATGCGCCATTTGTTTCCTTAGGATCCTAAAGCCATTGTGAATGATTGATTTAGAATCAGGGTTTTCCAACTCCCCTAGGTGGATCCTTTGTATCCACCGACCTGGTAAAGCGCCGGATATTCGCTTTTCATTCTTTCAATTTCGTCAACAACATCCCTACTGCGAGAAGGTAGTGAATAGGACTTTAGTGGCAGTGGTTGTATGCACGCGGCTATATGAGAGCATTTCGAGAGGGAGAGCGGACTATCCCCACTCTTTGCCGTACCAGCGCTTTTGAGGGTAAGCGGTAAGCATCAGCCGGGAATCAAACCCGGACTGTCCGCATGGCAGGCGAGCATTCTACCACTGAACCACGGACGCCTCCTTTGTCCTTGACCTGTTTAGTAAATATGTCATGACAATAATTGTGATTTTATAATGATCAGTGTTAGAAATGATACCTTGTATATTAATATTAACACTAGGTGATGTCTTTCCAATTCTATAAATTAACCTGTTTACCCTTTAATAACGATATCAAATGGATGGAAGTATCGTCTATTATAACTAAACGGCTAAATAAATAACAATGGGATGTTTGTTAGTTCAAATAATTTTCAAAACACCGCATATTTATTAGATAGTTTTTAAATGCTATTAAACATCTTCACATATACTACTCTGCAGAATATTTAAGAGAATTGACTTCTAAAAGAAGCTAATCACAGTGATGGTATATTATTAAACTTACCATCCGAAATTTTAGTATGTTGACTAAAAAAATATCGAATCATATATTCTGTTAGGCATGTATTAAATGAACTTAAATCTTCCAAAAAACAAGGGTTTTCATATAGTGGTAAAATGATGTTCGGTTCATTAGCTTCTATTGTTAAGTGCCAATCTTGTGCTAATAAATGAATCTGAAATTAACAGATAAGTAATATGTTTATTTTTCATAAAAATAAAGTATAGAAAATATAAATTACATTATTCACAAGCTTATTTATATATCTACTTGACTGAGAAAATTGAAACCTCACAAAAAGAATTAATCAATTTGGTAGATTAATGAAAATACTTTTAAGGACATAGTAGATTTTACAAGGTCAACTATTCCTTTTTCAGAGGTCATCAGTAGTTTTTTTAATAAATTAATTTATAGTTTTATCATCGAAGTGTTTGTATCATGAAGTGCGTGTATGAACGAACATCATAGGTGAAAAATAGTTTACATTATATCCTAATTGTATTTTTTATTTTATCGATCAACTCTATTCAGATGGAAAGCATATTGAAACAGATTACTATACATTAGTAAACTATACATCTAAACACCTACACTTATATTTACCGTTTCTTTTAATCAATTCGAACGAGAAGAACACACATGTTAAGACAAAATAATTCGAAAACAAGTGTGTAATAATCACCCGATTGGGAATCAAACATAGCATTCCATAATTGAAATGAATTTTTTGGAAAAAAAACGTTAGTTATTAGTTGAGATTTGTAATTCAACTGAACTAGTTATCAAAATATTGAATCAATGGTATAACTAATTGTTAATATAATAGTTTGTGGACATTTAACTGATGTAAGTTTAGCCTCATTGTGAAACAACGAAGTGGATAAATTTTGCAGATAGAGAAATTTTCAAACATTTCTTGGTAAGGTTAAATTATAACCTTAAAAGCGTTTTATTTTGGAGCTACTGAATTTAAATACAACGACGACTTTTTCCAAGTCTAATTGCAAGATACGGTGTAGTTATTATCTAATATCATTAGTCGACTTCTATTATATAATTTACGAACAGATTACAAGTACATGAGACTAAGAACAAAACGTACCAGGTGCAAGACGAGGATACTACTTGATAATTCAAACCAAAAAAGGTAAACAGATTATAAACATGTGGCTAATCGATCTAATGCTTAAGACCCAAAGGATTAAAAAACTAAATCATTATTCAATAAAAGTGGTTTTAAGAACTCTAGTTAACGTAATTTAACATACCGCTACTGTCTGATAACAAATGAAAGAAATATCGACAATAGACGCTATTATGCACTAATCTAAGATATATTAGTGAATAGTTATACAGAACAGCTGATATGTATAATGACAATAGGGAACATTTTCCAACATAAATCCACTCTAATTAGTATGTCTGTGTAATGAATAAGGGAATTTATAACTAGATTAACAAGCTTTGTATCAAGCATAGAAATGCAGAAAAATAACAAATGAGCAATGTTGAAACAATTTCACGAACATCTTTGTAACAAATTAAAGATGCATACTTGATCTTACACCCACCTCAATGATGTCTTCTAATCAGTAAAAAAAATACACAGTGGACAAAAAGAGGTCAACTGTTTTATAACGAATGTTTCATAAAAAATTACACGTTTTCAAGCAGACAACTGAGCTACAATGAACAGTAATTTAAACAACTTAATGAAATAAAGAAGTAAAAGTTTTTACATCGTTTTAGATGCAGTTAGATATATAACAAAATGAGTAAACCTAGTTACTCATAATTTGCACAAAATTTATCGCTGCCAATATTACGAGTATTATTTGAATTTCAAAAAAATATAATTTTATTGTACAAAATTATTTCGAGAAAATCTTTTAAAAAAATTAAATTTTGATAATCTTAATTCATGAAAAGTCAGGAGAAAAATAATTCAATAACTTCGCCGCGCAATTTCGTGGATTGATTGATGTTAGACACTAACACCATTGGATGCCGGCTCAGTGGTCCAGTAGGTTAAGCGTTTGCGTGCGAGACTGAAGGCCATAGGTTCGAATCCCACGAGCGGGATCGTGAATGCGGACAGGTGAGGAGTCCCACAATAAGACGAAACGGCCGTCCAGTGCTTTCAGGTTTTCAACTGTGGTCTAACATCAATCGGTTCATGATCTCAATCAAAAACTTAATAATCGCCACAACCCCTATACTGATAGCTTCCATTTGACCCGACATGATTGCCTCTACCGATTAATTAATTAAAAAGCACATTCAATATGACTCACAAATAATTCCAAAAGAAACCATAATGAAGGGAAAAAGGTTTGACTACTTTGAGAATCATTGAGTTTAGTTCTGAATAGATAGATTTTTATAAGTTCAGTTAAAATGATCTGTTAACAAAATGAAAAAAAAGAATAATTAAATTTATTTAAAACTGAGAAAATGTTTAATAACATTCATGAACAAATAGATGTGTAAAATAAAACATCTAGTTGATGACTCAAGTCAGAAATGTTATATTCAAATGGCTTATCTTGGTAGTATTAAATATTTGTCATACTGTTGTTTTATCATTTAGTCTTTTAAATTATCAGAACACGAAAGGTTGACCTTTAGTTCAATTATCTTTTTAATAAGAACGAAATCACAGTTTAATATTCGGTCTAATAATGCACCGCTACTAGTACTGTGGTGTATGCTACTTACGCTGACAGATATAAGTAGTATATACGAGCAATCTGAAATGGAATGCCTGCCAGCATATGGTTAAACTGAAGAGAACAGGAAGAGAAACAAAGAGAAATAAGAATAAATACACAATTGGAAGAATCATGAAGTATGTACAGGACAGTCGAAGGAAGATATGCAAATAAGGTATTTAATGTATGATTTTCGCATTTTACCGGGGCGCTGTGCAGTTTTGCATAAAAGAAGGAATTGATGTTGCCCATCAAGCGTTTGTTCACTACACTACTACTACCTCAGGTAGTCGCGCAAATGTGTTGTGCGATTCAGCTACATAATAAATTCATAGGAAATCAGTAAATTTTATTAGTCAAACTTCATTTTAGATAACTTTCGAAGAATCAACTTATAAAGTATGGAAGATGTGAGTCAGTAAATGCGTTAAACCATTTACATTTTAAGTAGCTAGTGGTTCACCTTCATTGTATGAATTACTAATCACTGTATATTCTTTGAAACAGTAGGATAAATTCATTATCTTCAATAAATATATTATTCTGAAACAGTTATGGCTATCAAAAATATTCAGAGATCAGTTTACATAGTTCCAAACGATTTTTACACTAAGCTATAAGAAACAATAACATTAAGGTTTACGTTCTAATCCTTTTTATTAAGAAAAGAGGCTTAGAAAGAAAAAAACCACTCATAAGTTGATATATGAGATTAAATTACTGTAAAGTTTAAAACACAATATTTGAAGTGTGTACAATGTTATGGTAAAGATCATCTATAAAATATAGGTATTAATTTCCCTAGAAAAGGTTTAATGAGAAAAATGAAAATAAGGAATATTTCAGTTGTTAAAATGCTGTCAATCATCCGGGAACTGAAGTATAAAATAACGTTGAAAAGAGTAAAAGCAGTAACAATAATAATATGAAATTTTCACACTACTTTTTATATACATATATTTCTACCATAAAATATTTAAAGTCACTAATAATACTATTGTTATCGAACATCTAACAGTGATACGTTATTTGAGTTAAAATAGTTCAGTTGGAGAAACTTTCATTAGCAGGTCGGATAGAATAATAGGGTCCCACATTCTGTGAAAATTTTGATAATTATTAATAGAGGGTTAAGTCAACCCGTTCTGATGACTTTGTGATTGATTGTTATTATGTGTTATATCATTCGTACGAGTTTTTGTTTTCAATTGTTCACTAAACATGTGACTGATCGATATTTCCTGTACAAAGATATGAATAAAATCTAAAGCCTATGTGTATTGCTAGTAAAATGACTAGAATATCAAAATACCAAAAATAGAGCACTGATAAAAACATCCAACTGAGCTCTAAATCTCATTAATGGCATTTTCGACTCTATAACTACTCAAATTCCTAAAATTTCTATTTTGACAGAACTAACTTTAATTTTAAAAAATGTACCAATCAAAAAAATTATTGTTGATCTAAGAACTGCAACCAAAAGATCTTTGATAGATATGTGGTTTAGTTAGGGCATAATCAATAAAATTACGGTCAGTTCGAGTGTTAATGATTATTAGGAAAATATCCCATTAGACAATACTTTTCTCAAGTAATTGTAAAAATATAAATTGCAAATTATACCTTCACCTCTTAATATGCATATCACACACTATAATGGATTAATGCTTCAGTGAAATGCTAATAAACGTTCTAGAAAATTTCATTTCATTAGTTTTTACATACATGTTTACTTAAGTTGAAGCATCGCAAGAAATAGAAGATTGATCGAAACGGATCATTGAATTTCTACAGCGGATTACCAGTAGCGACATGTTTTTAGGGAATCTTAAACGTGAATTTTTCGCATTTCTGAATAAATGAAAGTGCTAAGCTAGTGATCTTTGGCAATTACCGCTAAAATCTCCGTGAAGACTGATATATTATACAAGTCATTAGAAAGCTAATATGAATATTGTACTATGAATATAGTACTAATAATTTTAAAGATTTACGCATAGTTTAACTCGAAAGCGAAAAATGGAAGCCTAGTGAACTGTTATTTTTTGTCCCTAAAAAAAACGAGAAATATTATTGTCATAGAAAAGTGACTAGTTTTTGATCGGCAAACAAGTATTTTATTTTTATTGTGTAATCAAGATTTGCATCACTGAATTCATTAATATAGATTATTAATTTTAAGGTATCGTTAAACTTTCCTTTGTTTTACGAGAATAATGACAAATAGTTAAAATTGCTAATTTATATATATATTAAGCAAAAAGATAAGACATACATTGGCTAAAAGGTTTTTATCGATCTGTTCAGAATTTACCAAATCCGAAACTATCGGTACTCCAAATAACGGATGTCCAGAAAAGTAATGACCTAAAACTAAAAAAACACACAAGAGAAAGCTAAATAAACCTAGTTTCAATGAAATATTTCATTAGTGGTTTCCAGATGATTATCATTTTTAGAAATTATAGTCTTTCAATATTAAACTGTGTAGTATCTTCAGCATAAAGACTCAGAGAACATGTAGGAGGATGTGAATTAGTTAGTAAACTAAACTTTTGATTATTCTATTCTCAAAAACATGCTTTAAAAAGCTATTTATTTATGTTTTCTTCATAAATTGATCAATATTTAATTTAACTACTGAAATTCAGTAACATTGATTAAATTGACCATCTTCAGCAAACAAAAATATGTAAGTATTACTTTCATTACTTATTATTTCACGAAATTAACATGATATTTACTCAATCAACTAACCTGTTTCAATGGTTAAAAAGTGTGGGCCAGTTAAATATGAAACTAGAAGTTGGTTTCGTCCATGTCTATCATTGAAATGAGGAAAGCTTCGTGTAATACGATTCAAAAATACAATGAGCAATTCTAACGCGATTAGACTAGATCGATTCATCTCCATACTACTACCATTATTATTCGATTTGGTACCATTCATTTTGATCGAAATAGTACTTATTATACAATTAAATAACAATCGAAGAAAGCCATCAAGGAGTGGTACGAAAAATGCAGTTAACTGATGAAGACTTGTTTTATGAATATATGAGAATAGTTGACTGAAATGTTAAGTGATATGGTAGAGAAAAAAACAATTCACTTTAACCATGAAAAGTGATTGAGTGTAAGAAAATTAATTCTATATAGAAATTTAACTATATTTAATAAGGGAGTAATACGTAAAATTTATGAGTAGTGTCTAACGCCATATTAGTCCTTCAAAGATCCTGGCATTCTGTCGACCAGGTAGGGATAGAGATCACTAGTTCAGATGACTCGACATAGCGTGCAGTTTCTCAGGATGTTTGGTGGCTGAATGCAGTTGCGAGGAGACCATGAACCTAGACTTTTCGCTAGTAACTGAGATAGTGAAAGACTGATGCTCCCACGTCACTTAACTTCGGAGAGTGAGATTTTATTACTGAGATATTCCGATAGCGATTAGTTTCCGATCACTTGAAATAATTTCGCTTCTGTACGTATCAAATTATTCATAAACATATTCTTCAATGAGCTAAATAACACGTGGGTGTTTACGAATACATGTTAAATCATAACCTATTTATGTAGATGTTTTAACGATTTCTATTCTGAATTTGCTACCACGATTAGTTGACGATAGTTGAACATAAAAAAGACAATAGTATTCGTAAAATAAGAAACTTTAAATAAGTGAATGAATTGATTACTATTACATGTGCAAAGACTTTTAACAGTAGAGAAAACATAGTAAGTCTTGAAAAAGATTAAAAGTAAGACAATGATTCTACGCCGTTGTTGCTACCTTGACGTGGTGGTCGGGCTTGCCTATCGTGATGAAGCAACTGGGCTATACTGGCTGGAACAACCGTTCCTCAAGGTCCTACCATGCCAGACAGGTCGGTTGAAGAGCGGTAAGACTAAAAGCAACAAAACCAAGGTCCGAAGGCGAAGTCGTACTGCTGACTGTACAGAGGTGTGACAGCAGTAAGGTGTTTCCTTCAGACAACCAGCATAACAGCGATGCTGCCTTCCCAAAAGGAGGGGTGGGGTTAGAAAAGGTCGACCCTAAAAATGCACACCTCGCCTTATCCCACGGATATCCGTCTCCGGCGGTAAGGTCTCAACAAGTACGGAGCTAACACAAAAATTACTCATAAGAAGGTCGTGTGTGACCGACCTCAAGCAGCTGTCCCTTGGGCACTGCGGTCACGCTCTCAGGTCACTATGACCACCTCTAATCCAATTTCCTTTTCAGGTACCTCCAGCAGAACCCTTCCACGGTGTGGGCAACCGGGAAGTGATAACCGCCCTCATACCTCTAACAGCACTCAAGACCACTGTATTCATAATCAACCTACCTCTACCGAAAGTCACAGAGATTCATTCGTTTTAAACTAAAATACGAAACGACCTACAATAGAATTTAAGAAATATAAACACTTTTCTATATTAAACTGTACATAAGTCATACTGATTGTTCACTAAGATCAGTATTATTATTAGATTGAAGTCTATCAAAGTATGTTTGAATAAATATGCCTAAAAAAGTGCGCTCCCGGGGGGCTTACGGTCAGCTGGAGGACTGATTCTATAATAGCATTCAGATTAGTTGTGCGATCGGTGAAGTCATGAAAAAGGACAATCTGTGATTTCTGGAAAAATAACTACATTTTACCCTAGACTAATACAAATAATAATAGTTGCGATCAAGTATATTAAATTGCTCTGAAGAAGCGGCTTATACTAAGTTGTGAAACATCGGAAATTTAATTTTCCAACCGTTGAGATATTACAAAAATATCACTAAATTTTTTATTAATTATAATCAAAGGTGAATCGGTTACCGGACAGCAGATCGATTAGCAAAACTTTCAATGGTAGAATTCATTCGATTTATATGACAAGCTGATAAAAGACATTCTAATGAAGCATCTTGCATGTAAACGCTAGAAACAACAGTTGTAGAAACACTGAATAGTTCACGATGAGCATCAACCCATTTGCAAGCATCCATACAAAACTAAGGGACAAATAAATAAAACGTTGATCAAAAGAATATGAAGTGTAATTTTTAATTTCATTGAAATATATATATATATATATATATATATATATATATATATATATATATATGCATTCGATGAATCCTTTTTGTACTAAATGATTAAGACAGGCTAAAATGTGTCCTGTACAAACTTATATTTCAGTTATTACGTATTTAGTCACTTTTGGATTAAATTTCAGTAAATATAGAGGGTTAAAAACCTTTAATTCACACGACAGCTAAACATAAATTTAGATGAAGTAGAATTAAGATCGAGTGATTTCCAATGGTTAGAGGTTAGAAGCTTGATGTCTAGACCTGGGTTTCGTAGAAGTTGATAGTTGGTTCCAAATCTTTCATTAGTTTATATTTTTATTTAACTATGTTCACAACAATAGGTGTGACAACAAAGTCTTGTAATGGCAGCACACCACATAGCTTGTTTGCACTGGTTTATTTTAGTGACTTTATCCATGTACCACTTTTATAAACACGTGACTGCCTGAGAGTCTGTATAACACTATAATATCTAGGTATACAAAAATAAGATAATAATTTCTACATTGACTTGTCTATCAAGTTAAATACACATACATCACTGAGCATTACGTCAGTCAATTCACTGCAGTATACGATTCTTACGTTTATAAAAATCCTTTACTCTGTGCATGTGAACTGCCGTGCCATTATATATGAAATACGTCCATCTCCTAAAATATTTCGTATTCGGCTACTTGCATCACATCGTCATATGAATCTAGTCACACAATTAGAAAAGTTTATGAATTATACGAAGTCAACTCGGGATGTAAAAGCAACTGGAGTAAGATGAACTCGTAAAACAACATTTATACTTTTCAACAAGCCCTATGAAATCAATACAATTGGCAGTATATAAAACTAGGCTTAATGTATTTAGAAGAATGACGAAACAACTGAAAGCTTATTTAACTGTTTTACATTGTTTCTATCATAATTTTCAAAATCTCTTTTCTATTCTAAACGAATTTTTTTTCAACATGTAGATGAGGAAAGTAAAACATGGTTTCTACATCGATGATAAGAGTGCGTCACTTACTGGCTAACAAACTACCAGGGTTGATAAAACTCCAAAAATAAGAAAATTAATCAATTACTTCAAACGCAATACGAAGAGACTATTCATTGATATGGAAAAGTTTGAAATTAACATTTTGTGTTTTAGAGGGAGAAAAAACGAAGTAATGTAAACAGTTTACACTATATGTTTACTAAATCACAATATGGGAATTTTTCAAGTTTACTAAAATGTTTATCTTTTCAATCTGATTTCAAAATGTCATATGTTGTTGACTAACAAAGCTTTGTATTAAAATTCAGTACATATAAACACACTTGCCTAATTATAAATTAAACCGATCAAGATGCTATAGAAATGTTTAGTTTTGTGAAATGGTTTCTAACATGGATCAATACATAGTACCTATTGGATTTTACTAAAATGTTACAAAAATGATTTTCTATGTAATTCGGTGATTAAATAAAGTTTAGTAAATGTTACATATATATAACTATGCAAATCTACTGATAGATTATCACCATAGTATAAACATAAACGTCGCTACATCTACCAAAGTTTTATGGTATGAATAAATCGTTCAAGACGTTTACCAGTTGTTTCTTACAATGAAGTTGTAGTTCTTTACGTTTATAAGAGTTCTATAGTTTGACTAAACACCAAGGTTATAAAAATTTGGATGAACATTGTTGAGAAGCTGAGACCATGGAAATAACAAATGTTCAGTGCTTCTAGGTTTTTACTGGCCTTCCGATTACGAAAAAAAAACGTTTACAACTTGGTGATTGCCTTGATATCAAAATACGTGGGTAGAGAATAGAAATTTCAGGTATTAAATTACAAACTCATCCTAGACAGACGACTATTTTAAATCAGGATTTACTGGGAAGATGTTTTATCCTTATACGGGACTCTTTATCAAAACGCATCCACAACCCCACTACAGTGAACTAACCTGAGACATTTGATTTGAAACGCGAACGCTTAGGCTTTTGACCACTGAGACTGAAGGTCTTTGGTTTGAGGTTTTGCAATAGGGTCGTGGATTCACTCAGATGAAGAGTTCTGAACCAGGATGTAAAAGCTCTCAATGTCGGTCAAGTTAAGATCAGTTCGTGATTCAAACTACGATATCTTGTCATGTTAACACTGTATTACCTATATTGCTATTCAGATAAGTAACAAGAGTATGACATACAGTCTACTGAAAAATGCACTGATTGTTCCTGCAAGTAGCACAAAGTAAAAAATTAATATACACGATTACCTTTTCTGAGATCGATTTTATGTCCGGCTTAATCATTGCCAAAGCTGGGAATGGTTTTTCTACACTGACTAACAAATTCAGATCACGATCTTTTAAACATCCTTGTTCTAATAAAGGTAGCCACTAAATTAAAATAAAACAATAGAACACGGTTGGTTATACAGTCAAGTTTACCATGAATCTACAGCTAAACGGCCTTTCAGGTAACATAATACAGAAGGAATGAAATACATTAATGACTTGGGGAATAAGTACGTTGACTGGTATGTCTTGAATAGTCTACAAGTGATATGAGCCAACGGTAAAAGTATCCATATGGCTTAGGAGATTTTAGTTTTTACTACAAACCGGCATTAGTCGGGGGATCAGTGTGAGGCAGAGATCACTAAACAATTGTTTTATTTCTAGTTTAGAACTGCTAAACGTGTGCAACGACGATCTAATAATCAAGTCTAGCGATGAGGCTATTGCTGTGAGATCAATAAAGTGGGATTCAACAGTATACATTTTAGAAGCATAGACGATTAAATTCTGGCATATCACATTATAAGTATGGTGTCCTCCTCAGCAAATGATGTGCCGAGATTGAACCTTGGGTTTAGTTTTACTAGAGTGCTATGGAAAAGTCACGAGGTAGAAACAAACAACTATCTGGTGCTAATTCATTTTTAGTCTTTTGACGTATATTTAGTTAGTCATGAACTTTCACACTGAATAGTTTTAAATAAATGAATATTACTTACAGAATAACCAATTACAGTTTCTAAAGACGCAGATGATTCAAGTTTTTTCGTTTGACAAATTACATGATAAAATGTAAATAACAGATAATGCGTTTCTTCCAATTTTCCAGGTAACTGAATTTTTATTTCATCGAAAAATTCTGGCGATCTAATAGTTTGGTAATAAAAACATAAATATAAAACAACTAGGTCTGTAACTGAAATGGACAAATCGAAACGGTAAAAACAAGCAGGACTAGAAGTTCTGTAATTACGTAGCCATGTGAAGCTAGAAAATATGAGATTGAGCACTGATATTTTATGACTTTGATGATTCAAACAAACAAGAAAGTCACTTAATATATGTAAGAATCTATTACGAAATGCATCAAATGATAACTGTTGTGCTAACAAATTTCCAATAATCACAAAACAATGTGAACGAGTTTTCGTAAAGTTGCAACTTATCTGTATTCTAAGGATATGGTAATTACGTTAAAAAATGGTACACCCATGAGGTTTACTTTGACTTGATCAACAAAAGAGTTGCTTTTGTAAGTTTAGCCTATTACTATAGACTTGGTAAGTTGGGATATTCGGTGTGTTTCCAAGTCAGTGAAGTAGAAAAAGATTTGTTTAGATCACAACATAAACACTCTTGTCCTAATACTTTTGGATAGATTGACAAAATACAATTTAACCAAACATAATAATGTGAAATTGATACAGGAGAACATTTTAGCTGTGTAGATATCCACTCGAGAAAGAATGGTGGAAAAGATTTGTAGCTTAGGTGGATGATTTTGATGGAGTTTTGTTCTCTGAGCTTCAGCTCAGAGAAGTTCTTATTATTAAAACTGAATCTTAAACACTAGTAAGTGAAATATAGTAGTGGTTATCATTATAATTTCACTACTCAGATTTAATGAAATTATGCTTAAGCAGTTGATAAACTATAATCACAATGAATGAACTGTTTCTAGATTTATGCGCTTTCAGAATATGAATAATATTCATACCTAGTACCTGTTTTAAAAAGCAGAGTTTAACACTTTTCCTAATAAGTTACAGGTGAGTCGAATCTTCATAATATTAATAACTAGTATTAATAATATTAAAGAGGTTGAGTTTGTATATAACATCTATTCAAAGTGGAAATTTGAAATTCATGTCAAAATTGCAAGCTGACAATATTTTATTGAACTGAAGTTAGTATGAGTTGTTATTGTATAGACCGATTTATTGCTTTAAATCAGAAAAAAATTACATTGATTGATTATTTGGTAGTAACTCATATCATATTTGCCCACATCTTTAGTTCAAGTTGTAATGTGGTCACTAGTCTAGGTGACTCGGAATGCGTTCTGATGTTACGTGGTTGTAAACAAGAAGAAAAAGCACATGAATGGTAACTAGCATAACACCTAAATACAGAGTATCCTCTTGAATCCCTCTAACCATTTAATATTTGTAGAAGCATAAATTGGACATTGTTGGATAACAAATAGTAAAAAAATTATTGACAGCTAAGAATGAGGGCTATTAAAGCTTAAAAACGATGTGTTTACAAATCACTAGTTATCTCTACGTTACAGTATATGTTTATGCTCTGAGTAGAATTTTAGTTCGCTGAAAAATGAGCTCGTAAATCAGAAATGTAGATAAATGGATTTCACAAAAAAGCTGGTTATAATTACGCTGAATATTACTTCAAATCATAGTGTCTTGAAAGATTTTATAGATAAACTAAATTCTTGGAATAACAGATACTTATAACTTTTCTCAGAATATGTATTCAACTGTACATGAAACCGATACTCTAGGCCAATCAGAAGCAGACTCGGACAACCGCACAACATAACAGAAACTTTAACGTTTTTATATTATATTCAATTCATTCCGTCAAATATTATTTTCTCTCCAACAAAAGGTGTTATCATGAACTTTATTATTTAAAGCTTAATTTGACTTGACATGCAACGAAACTGTTATTGAATTTTTCTCAATTTGTGTTTTGTGTTAAAACAGAGTAAATTATTAAACAAATATTGGCGAGACTATAATTTATGGTCGAACCAATCAGATTTAGGATAATAAGTCTTGGATTTTGGCGTCGAATTCATTCATCCATTTGGCCAAATAGCATCTTTGTTTCTTAGCTGATGTCAGTTCGTGATGAAACCCTAAGCCTAATTTCTAACGCTAACTATTAACAGTAAATTATAAATCTAATTCCTCACACTGGTTTACAACACTCGTTTAGCCTTAGTAAATAGATGGAAATTCTCAAGGTCACCTTAGCGTCGCTCAAAAATTGTCCATAAATTTTGGTTTTACCCAAATGATCTTACTAATCAAAAGAATGTAAGTTAATCGTTAGACTACAACTAACAGGATATTTGTTCGCCATGGTAACAATTAGATAACTTGTGAAGATGATCATAACATATACACGTACAAATCATCGGTTAGTACATAAGTTTCTTAGGTGTTTGACTAAATTGTAAGGTAGCCTGGTGAAAAGTTAGACAGGATTTTGAAAAAATATATGAGATAATCATTAACTATTTTTAGAAGAATTAAGTGGTATAGATTGAAATTGATTACAGTGATATAGCCGTATTTATTTTACATCTTTATTAAGATCTTAAATTTAAATAAGATAAATTTTGTACTTTTTATTCGGTACATTTCTTGTGCTTAATCTCATCCTGTCATTGATATATAGCTGTGGTCGCATCAGGGTTTACTTGGATGCCAGTGTTGGAAATTTTAAAGAAAGTAACAAACATCTACACTAGTAAGAATAGAAATCTTTATCTTGTGAGATTATTTCTTCCAAGCTTCTATTTGATAATAACACGTATGTGGCGAAAAGTAGAATATGATTTATTTACTTACCTGTTATGATATAGAACTGTAGTGAACGCGTCGCTTATAAACCTAGGAGAATTACTTTTGCCATAAATAGCCTATGAGATAACAAAATACACCAGATAAAAAACTGAATAAATAAACAAAATATAGTAAAAAAAAATAAACACCTATACATATATATGATAATTATATAAGCCTGAGGATAGTTATAGGAGACGGCTTCTATTATTTGTTCTATGAACTGGAATACCAATAAAAACCGACACAAGAATCTTTCCATTTTGCTTAGACTGACGACTTAAGCAATAAAATCATATGTTATAATTGCTACGTCTAAGCGCTTAGCTTTTTGAAGATCAAAGAGCATTCAGTACACGTATCTATTTCTTCATTCGAACTTCGGTTGATGAGAACGTAGGCAGAGAGTTTACAATATACAATCAAGAGCGTAATGTAACTAATTAACAATGTACAAGTCGATGTACATTGTAGCATACATTTTAGTGAGTTATTTAGTGATATCATGCTGTTATTTAAATTAAAAGACAGAAGCAGAGCAAGATTAAAATAATCCATTTGGTTGTAATGAAGAAAAATAATGTATAAGATAATCAAAAACTGAATAACACCAAACTATGATTAATAACAGAAAAATGATTAGCGAGGCAACATATTTGTCTAAAAATGCGAGACTTAAGCTTCTAACATAATCAGTTATTACTGAAAGCAATCGTTGGTTAAAATTTACCAGGAACGTTTTTATAAAACCATAGTTATCTACTAAACTTGAGGTTTTGCCGAGACAGTATATAGTGTAGACAGAGGTTTTGAATACCGATGAAAAGACGAAACTCATTATGAAAAGCTAGTTTATTTGAAGATGTCAAGCATTATCAAAGGTGTAAATTTCGATTCCATAATGTTTATTTTGAGTTTTACAGCTAGCTACTAAAAACAAAACTGAGTAAGGATTAATGGAAAAAAATGTTTGACAATTCTATCGAATGCTTTCCAAAAAGTAAAAATCTTGGATACATATTGTAAACGATTAATTGTTGATTTCAGTAATAAGTATTAGATAATATGGTATACTAAGATATCTAGTTGGATTTACAAGGTCAACTTTTTCTTTCAAAAGTATGACACAGTTGGATTCTGTACACATTTTCTTGAATGTTTCATGCATTAATTAAACAATCTAGTACCCTAACAATAATATGTCTACATGACTTATTTGAGGAAAAAACTATTTTAAATATTTACGTGAAATTTAGTTGTTACTAATGGAAGCAGTTATTGAAGTATTTGGTTACGAAGTACTTATAATGAATGATATGCTCTACTGCATCCCAATTCTAATACGCCATAAATACAAGAGCTGTGTTATAGAAGATAAAAGTGAAAACTATAATCCTATTATTAATCTCCTTACATAAACGTAACATTAGTGATTATTAGAGCCTAATCTTTTCTAAAAATATCGTTCATGAATATCAAGTTATATATATATATATATATATATATATATATATATATATATATACTTGTTGATTCACACAAAAGTATCTTTCAGTTGCATGCTTAGACTTGTTAAACAGAAATTATTTTAAAAATCACTTACTGGAAGTACTTTAGTTACAGTAGAGTCACTATACATTAATTGTACACGAACAGTAATATTTCGAGAAGAAGCCTGTTTTGAAGGTGGAAGACTAACACTTCGTGGATATACATATAAAAGGTTACTATGAACAGAAAAGATAATAAAAGATAAAAATATGTAGTAATGAAAGTATATACATTCATAAATACAAACAAATAATTAGGAATGTAGTCACAACACAACAAATGTTATTAATTTCAACCAACGCATTCACTTAAGATTTAAAATAAAATCAGATGTAGACTAATTGCAAATAAGTGGACTAATTAATAACTATAAGTTTATTGAAGAAGCAATAATGTTTATAAAATATCATTACTAATATCCAGGTAGTAGCATGAATAAATCAGCTGAAGAGTCTGTAACTGTACGGTAAAGTGGTGCGAATTTCAATTTTCAAGAAATTACAAGTACTTAGAAGCTGGAAAGTGTAAACAAGAACTAATCAAATAAACTCTAGTTTTTGGATATTTTGGCAGCTGAACAATGTACTTAAAATTAATCAAAACAACATTTTACATAAAATCATGTAGGTGCACATATTCACGTGATACATAACTATCATTTAACCCTTGATCAAAATTTGAGTATTTTAAAATGATAAAGAACAATAAGGTAAGTATCATGTGCATCTCACTACATCATGGTGATTCAAACAATTTTGATATCATAACTTTTCTCATGTTTACAGCTTTGATAAAGTTAATCTATTACGTCAGTAAATGTATATTATGTTAGATTCAACAATGTGACTTTACTAAAGTACAAAAAACAATAAATACAAAGATTTCACAATTGATACTAGTAGGTTTCTTAATTAGTCAATCTGACCAAGTTACATTACATATGAAAAAAAGAACCTCAATACAAACATAAGCCTCAAAAAGACTAACATTATTTAATCCAGGCCTAAAGACTGTAAGCTTTGAAACTCTTCCACAAACATGCAGACTATTCAATGATATCAAGATACCATTATAAAATTCAGTCTCACACTTGATGATATCTGACAATCTATTTTCTTTAAAAAAAATTAATCAGACATTGATTCTTGAATGATGATTTTAAAGTTTAAACAAAGCATATTTAGCCCCACATAGAGAACTCTCCAACAAACATAACATTTCCAGATGACTATTATTTTTATGTTGATTAAACACAAAATTTGATGAAAAAATTACTTGTCTATGTCTAAAAAAATATCTGATGAATCATCTGTAGAACAGTGTACATTTTATATTTTACATAGTCATAAGAAACTCAATTCTCATAAGCAACAGTCGTTTAAGAAGTTAAAATAAGCACGAAAGAGTATTTAAATTAAATAAAACAATATTAAAACTGACTAGAATGATCTACTCGCCTGTAGTAAACATATATGGTGTATGTAATTACACACAGTACTACCAAAAATTATCTAAATTTATATGTAAATACATTTGTACAAAGATATATACAGACAAACACACATACAAGAGTACACTAATGTACGAAAAATTTATGTCGATATGACAAATGTAGATCAGAATTATTTAGTCTAGAATTTTGAGATAATTTTGGATATTTTTTAAAAATAAAAACGAAGAGAAATAATTTTTAAGAGTTTATTAGACTTGCAAAATTATTGTCCAAGTATAAAAGTAATGAATAATGTAAAATATACAAAGATATAAACTTAACATTTTAATGGACATTTTCATTAATATTGTTTATGGAAAATAGAAAGAATAATAATAATATAAAAGATATATTGTAGTAGACAGACAATCCTTATTTCATTGGTTAAGATGATGAGTCAGTTGAAGCTAGACTACTATGGAAAACCTGGAGGCACTGGACGGCCGTTTTGTCCTTAGTTTCATCAAATTTGTAATTAATGATTGAGTTAGAAAAATCAAAAGATTTAAAGGAATCTAAACAGAATTTACAAATAAACTTAAAGTAGTTATCAAAGCAGTTGTAAAAGAAACTAAAAAGGAACGGTTTACATTTTTATTAAATTATATTGACGAGACTTCAGATTAATATATAAGTTAATAAATTATTAAAGCATTTGTATTAGATTAAGAGATATTCAGTGTTTAAACCCATATTAGTTATTGATATTTATTGTTCATACGCACGATTTTCGGGTGTTTGTTATTTATTGTGTTGAAGTTATTAAATGATTATTTAAAAATTAAGTTAGCGTTGTACAAAACTGTAAGAGAAAAAGCCAGTGTTCTATTATAAACAAAGTAGATGAATATAGAAGGTGTTAAGAGTCAAATCGACCACAATCCTTTGTGTATAAAATTAAATATGACGCTACCTTGAGTACTAGATAGCACTGAAATAAATCTTTCTTATGACTTTCAAATTAAACCAGTAAACAATCATGATGTATTTATTTTTATCTAATTGTACCACATATTTTCGCAATATATGTAAATAGTTGGCTTCAAGTTGCACTATTTTATGCAAGGGTTGGCGATAGTATAAGGATTTTTTTGGGATGGCCACCGAGAAGCCACCTACATACATAGTTGATTGACGGACTTATCGATCAGATGTTTAAATATTTAAAATGGCAGTCGATTGACTAAGTTATCGATTAATGTTTAAAAAACTTCCATGGCAATATTGATTATATATATAATTGTATAAATACGCATGTTTTATTGTATATTTTGATTCTTGTCAAATAAGTGCTCTCAAACGTCTTTCGTCTTCTTACATGCGAGGGTTTGGAGGTTCTAACGTTCGAGTGTCATCAGTTATATAGTGTTCGTGCGTATTCAAGTAGAGAACATAACAGATTTCCAGAATGAATTAAGTCCAGTGCGGTTTTGACATTGTGACCCTATGGTTAAATCCATCAATAATTATAAAAAGTCATTAAAAGATTAATTAATGGAAATATTATGTCCTGAATGTTTATGACTCATTCGCCAACAATGAGTAAGCAATAATGCTGACGGTAAAGTCAATTTACAAATAAATGAAACAATTTTCTTGTGTTCTCGCAAACAATAAAACAAATTTATAATTAACACACATACTATGCGCATTTAACAGGCAGATATTTAAATAAAGTACACCTACCGATATGATGTAAATGGAACCATTAGATCTGGTGAAGGCAATTCAAGAACCTCACGAATCAAGTTTGGTGTATGTTCAAACATTGTAGAGTTATTGTCAACTTTATTAACAGAAAAACCACTAAATGCTTGAAAAATAGAACCAATGTACGGAAGACATTCGGGATTGAGCAAAATTCTAGACTGACTATTTAACTCATCTTTTCTATTTGGAATTGAATATCTTTCAATTCTTAGATTTGTTGACTTTAACAAATTAATAAGAGTTTGTGGAGTCGCCCAATGTAAACGTATATTTAATGATATATTAGAAGTTGTTTTGAAACGTCTCACTGAACCACTGGTAGGACTAAATGCAGATGAAAGATTTAATGAAAAGTTGGAAATATTTAAATTAGAATTCTCTGAATTATTACCGTTATTATTATTATTAACAACGTGATTGTTCATTAAAATACCATTTAATCCAGGACCAGGTGAAATGATAGGTCGATGATTAAATAGAGTTTGACGATGAATTTCATTAACCTGACGAAATAACTCATCGTCATTTATTCGATCTTTTTCCTTGAAAAAGAAAAGAAAAGTGAAGATCATCCAAAAGCTTTACTTTAAGTTGATCAAATCATTTCATGTTTAAAACATTGATAAATTTCATATGCATAATATAGTCTATAATTCTCAGGGTAAGCTATAAAAAGCATATTAATTTACTGGATAAAAATAAGGTTGAAGACAATCTACATTGATTCGCCAATGTGAAGTAAGTCATTTTCATCTGTTTTCTTAGTATGAATAAAATATTATCCATCAAATTTCACAGAAAAAACTAGTCAAAGTGATTGAAATATCATCACGTGCATTAAAGTTTGCCAATACAATCTGATTGACAAAATTTAATCAGCACTGACAATTAGGCATATTTCACATTCGTTACCACTCTGTGATCAATGATTGTGAAAAAACTAAATGGTCCTTCAGACCAACTGGTCTAATCAAATTACGTTAGATATACTGATAAAATAGAGCAAAAAAAATATACCGAATACCAACAACGGAATTGTGCTAAATCAACAGGTGATATTATTCACTGAGGCACAAAAAGTTGTAACACGAATACTATGATGAAAACAGCCTAAATTCACATTCCCCTTGTATTTATCGATTCCATGGCAAATAAAAAAGACAAATGTGCATTGAAGCGATTTTCATCCTTAAGCAAATAGGTACTTACAAACAGATCATTGCATTGATCAAACTATAGCTATTTTACATGACAAGAGTCATAAATGTTTATACAGCGAATATTTATTAAGATTTAATAAAAAAAATCACGATTATCGAGTAGAGTATACGTAATACGTTTCACTGAATAACTCGGAACAAATGAAGCTTGTGTAAAGAGTAATTATAATAAAAACACTACCATTACAGAAAATCATAAACACATCATTCGCTTGCAATGCCAGATAAATCAACAGTGCAAAAATCTATAATCTTAACTAAATAAATAGATAAAACTGAAAAAGAAGTAGTTATCCGTTTACTTGTCCGCATAATAATAGTAATATAAATATTACGATTGTAAAGTACTAGTTATGCAACAACCGAAACAAATGGGTTGGACAGTCATTTAAAAGAATGGAATGTAAGTCCCTTGAGTTTATTCAAATGACGAGAGCTACATTAGTTAAACTCACAGGAACTCAACAATCTTTATGATAGTAAGTGAACTGCGGGTAAATGTGAAAATAAAACCTACAGTATTCAGGAATCAAATACATTTAATTATACAGATCATTGTAAAAAGAGTTGATCTAAAAATTAACCCTGAATATTAAAATCAAATTTTGCAAAAACTAACATAATCAATAAAAAACTTGAGAAAATTTCGAAATAATACAAACAGTTTTTAATTTAAATGTGCATAACAACTTACCTGTCTAAAAAAATTATTAATTTTTAGTTCTATGGGTGAAAAGCATATTGAATCTGATTGTTCAATATTTTTTGAACAAGTAGAAATACTTTGATGAAAGCGTTTTTCATGATGACTAGTTACCATTCCTTTTATCCAGTCATATTTTGCTTTTTTTACGAAACCCTCTGGACTATTCGATACACCAAATATTGATGATGATAATGAATCATAAGGATTAATACTATTATCCTCTGAATGATTGTGTAAAGCAGGATCTACTGACCGACTACGTGTACTACCGCCACCATTTAAATTCCGTTTATTAAACTCAGAATATTGTTTGTCGTGATTAATGGCTTAGTGAAAAGTGAAAAGAGTAAAACAAACAAATGAAGAAATAACATCATGCAACCATAAAAATGTGATATTTACATACGTGGTATAATCGATTCTAAAAGCAAATTACATCGAACAACATGAATCAACAACAAAAATGAGATCGATGTGCTGAAGGAATATTAGAAGGCAGAACTTAACACGTAATTGTGATGAATTATCACTAGGCATGAATTAAAAATCATATTCACTTAAACCAAACGAAAAAAAATAACGCTAAAACTTTCGAATGCTTTAAGTTGACTGATCATCCATAAATATATTTTTTTAATAATTCCATTCAGATCATGGAATCGTAGGTGTAGAAATGATTATCTCATCGGCCAACGGACATAAGTGTTGACAGTTTATAAAAAACTAAACTCAAAGTGCAATTTACAGAGATATGATCTTAGAGAAGGAATCAGCTTATTAGAGATAACGAATAATTTCGAATAATCATAATATGTACAAATACATAGTTTTATGTCGACTACTTCCAATCGCCCCAATGATTGATGAATAACAGCATGTACATAAACAAATTCTTTTAAATTTAACCAGTTTACTTAAGTAATCACTAAAGAAATTACTGGACCTTTATAAAACTTAAGAACATTTTTTAGACTGCACAAAATACGCCTATATACTTACATTCTGTTGTTTTTGCACAATGAGTATCATCAGTTTGTGATTGAATAAATTTATTACGAGGATCAATCATATATGGTGTTAAATCAACAGCAGTCCAAACTAAGGGCATACGATAACGTCCTAAGCGTTGACAACACCAGTTTATTGTGGTTTTAAGTTTATCTTTATTCTGTAAAAGAAAACACATACAAACACGTTAAATTTGACAATTTATTTAGTATGTTAGAATAGATGGATAAGTTATTAAAAATATTTGCTACCCAATGTAAAGTAATCAAACAATTGAAGTCAATCTAAAAAAATATTTATATTTGAATTTCTAGACTAATACGTCGGAAATGGTTACTTACTTGGTTTGTAAAGAAGTCACACTGTTTTTACATTATTTTTCTCATAATTGATGTTAGCAACAAATAACTGATGAAACACTTGATAGTTGTTGTCTATGAGTATGTAATTTCTAACGACCTTCAGGTGTCGTGATGGGCACAATACTTTTTACATTGTCATCATATTAAATTTCATTCCATTTGTAAACAAGTGATCCTTATTCAGTGTCATCAGGTTAACTTGAAACGTTTATCCAGTTTCCCACATTTCTTAAAGTGCTAACACTTGAGATTATTTTACACTAACATTTCAATATGGTGGAATTATTGACCTTGACTGACACTGAAATATGAATTGGATATTTTATGCCTTTTATTACTCAGTTAGTGCACACAAATGAAACTAAGAATCTGTCATTTAAACATTCTGAAACGTATATGTATATGCTGTTTTTACGTAGCCAAAGAGTTTTTCAAGGTTGTGAATAGTTGTTTTCCATGTTAAACCAGATTAGTCTTTAAGTACGAAAACTCATTTATTTAAGAGGGAGTCAGAATATGCATGAGTCTCTGGAAAGATCTTAAATGCTTTTTCAAAACGTTTTCTCAGTCTATGAAATACTTGTCTGAAAACTCAATGGAGAGTAGACGAAACAACGTCGTGAGTCAACCATGTAAATGAAACCACTATCTTTTTAAGATAATCCACACCATACCTGAGCGACTACATTACTATGCATCGGTAACATACATAATTAATTACTTGAAGCATATCTAAAACGGGAAAATATATAAGAATAAAGACATTTGAAAAAGTGGTGGCTTAGAAGTTTAGTCAGGCTACTTGTATTGCTGTCGAGTACAGTTTCGTGAAATCGACTATGAAAGTGAGAGTTGGTGATATTAACCGCCTCATTACACTGAAATAAGTGAAGCATATTCAAAACTTCCAGTCTATCGGTCGAAAGGTGAGTGCTGTAACTAATAAATAACTCTTTAATTGTGCAAAGATTACGTTCTCATTGACATAGTTCATATGAACTTCGAATATCATTGGGTACTTTTACTTTGCAGAAGAAAAACAGAAAACTACACACATATATGCGATCATTTTATATGCTTTACATTCTAATATACTAGGGAAAAATGAAATACATTGTCGAATAACATCGTCAAACTGAGGGGAAAGTGAAAAAAAATAAATTAGGCCTGTCGCATTGTAAAATCATACACTGCCAATTAAAACCAGCAGATCATTTCTCAATTATAAAAGATGACTAATTTGATACTATGTTTACTGTTTAATCACTGATGTAAAACATACTACAAACTCTTGTATGTACATTGAATTCGAAAAATTGTTTAACCTTTTATATTCTGAATGAACGAAAAGGAATTATTTGAACTTCTTTCTCCCCTATCCTTAGTGCCATTTTTGTGTGTAGAAGAATTAAAGTTTTATGTATAAATATTCATCTTGCTTATTATTTATTTGTACAGTAAATGTAAGTAAATAAATACGTCTCCAGTTCATCAAGTACAAAACAAGTGCATTTCATTAAACGTTGTTACATACTATTTTAATGTAAATTTTTTATTCTGGTGATATATTGCACGTGAGTTATTTATGAGTGGTTCAATACAATGTAACATCAAATATTTGAGGCTAAAATAGAATAAATCTACTCAAGAAAACATATAACATAATAATATGAAGACTGGATCAATTTGAAGGCACTTTAATACTATAAAATGAAGTAAAATAAATCAAGACTTTATAAACAGTATAAAAACTGGAAGGAAGTTTGTCAATTGATGAAAAATATTTGTAGCTCAAGATGGTAATTTTGAAGGTGTTTCGTTCACAAGCCCGGATGGTTTAATCTGGAACTTTTCATTGTCTTTCTAAACAACATCATGAATACATACTCTAAAAAGAACTGAGCTGTTAGAATTTTTACCCAATCGACAAAGAGTTTGGTCTGTTGAAGCACATTTCAACTCTTTGGTTGAGGTTCTGGAGATGGCGTAATTAAGTAGCTTAGCTTGAAAAACTATCAGATGTGGATTAGGACGGAAGCCAATACCGCTTCTGTTGAAATTTCCTTTCACATTCTGAATAAAATAGTGAAAGAAATCCCTTTAGCTGATAGGATTCTTTCTGATTGTATTTCTGATTAAACTGCTTCGCTCATTACAAACTGTCCTTGTTCCACTACTTTTCTAGTTTCTTTACTTTTGAACATACTCTTCCTTCCTCGATCTCTCTACATTTTCAGTTTATTTGTGCAATGCAAATTTATTTTGATGATCGATTGTGTATAAAATGTATTAGTTATGGTAACATACTCTGTTCACTTAGAATTTGATTGATTGTTTGTATGCAAACAACTGCTGCGCTATTACATTACTATCGTTGTCTAGAAAGAAAATAAAAGCTTCATGACTAAACCATTCAACTCAGAGAACACAACACATACGAAAGATACTTCTCATTTTGATTTTTGAACTCCTTAGTACAATTTTGTAGTACATGGTACAAAGTTACAGGAACCGAAGTAACTATCCTAGAAGCGGTTCAAGGTTCATATTATACAGGATTATTTTACTATACTACGTGTCCTGTAACAGTTTAGTACTAAATTTTAGATGAACCTGCTAAGCGTTAAAATTATCTACAAACACTAGCGAACGAAACATTTGAAAATTACAATCTTTTCTAGAGGAAAAAGTGAAATGATAAAGAAAAGTGTATGACTCACTTTTTCATCCTTATTATAACCTTCAATGATATCATTTACATCACCTTGCTGTAATACCTTCTCTACCTATCAAAATAAGGAAGAAGTTAATTATTCGGTGGAAGTACATGACTAGTGATTATGATTCAATTAGTTGCATTGTTTAATCACAGTAACGTAAATTAGCAAAACTGTAAATAATTGAAGAGAATTAGTGACATTTTACTCAAGAATACCTGTTAAAAACATTTCAAAACACACGTTTCTAGTGGTTGTATTAAAAATTGGACCCTAATACAAGTTTCACTCTATGTACTGTTTTGTTAAGGATAAGGTAGAAAAAGTAATCTCCTCAGAACTTTTGCATAAATATCATGATGTGGATTTGTAACTTGATCCATAAGTTGAGTTTTGATATATATATATAGCTTGAAGTCACAAACTTCTGGTCTGAGCCATGTTGGTAGATGCAGACTGCCTGGTTTGGTCCGCGTGACTATCGTAACCAATGATTGGAGACTCTTGGTGACATGGCTCAGAATCGATCACAATGGCGTCGGTGTATACACACTCTGTCTTTCTTTAAACTAAGAGATTAAAATCACTTCAAATCTTTCTTTCTAGGAACTAATTCTTTCTTCCTGTACTATCTCCTTATACACAATCTTTCTTCTATATATAACAACCACTGAATTAACTACTTCTATGAATCTGGTGTTCATCTTGTTGTGCTAATGCGGTATGGCAACTTGGACCGATGCATATATGTGCCTGGTCCTACGTTGCAGCTGACTGACTGACCGACATCGCTTGCTTAGCTAGATTAAAACAACTTATTCATGAAATGGATCAGTTTAGATAGCCTGTTCGACGCAAAGAGGAACACGTTATACTGTGGAGAGCTATTTAACTCAGTATAAGCATTAGGAAAGGTCATTAAAACTAAAGCCTATGATAAGTAACTGTAACGATGAAAACAGGAAAGGAACCAAATGAATAAACCAATCACTAATCACTAAACTTTATGGTGAGCAAATTTTAACCAATAAATAAAAAAAACATCAGTACGGTTCGAACTTTGATATTAGATAAGGCAACATGTTATGACTAACAAATTACGTTGGTACTAGATAATTTTTTGTACTCATTAGTTTTATGTTCTATTTAAACCTCAAGTTAAATGGAATTTTCGCGTGAATGCTTATCTTCCGGATATGCAAGATAATGAAATATCAACGATAATGTTCGTGTATGTCTAAGTAAAGCCTTAGCTTACTATAATCGACTGTTAAAACATACATCCTGTAAAACTGGTAGCAAATATTAGATATCAGTGGTAATTTAAAATTACATTCTGGTTTGAATGAAATAAATTAAAAGAGAAAAATTAAAACGACACTTGTAATTATTACACTTCGTAAACCGTCAGACAGAGCTGGGACTATTATTGAATTCACGAGTCTCTAACTATAAAACTTCTAAAGAATTCTATTAAAAACATACCACATTATTGACTGAATTTGATACATAACTGAATGTTATATGGTGCAAGAGAAATAAATTACTTTTCTTGTATATATATATATATATATATATTTGTTGATCTCATAATTATTAATATTAGTTTATTTTATTCAAATGCACTGAAAGATTGATTTAAAAGTTAGAAATTGTAATTAAACCTGAAAGTGCTGAGTGTGATGTAGTAGTCACAGTCATTAAGGACTAAATTCTGATGATACTGCTCTAGAGACGAAACAAGATGATATAATAAAAGAATAACTTATGTAGTACATAATATAGAAATTAAAATATTAAAAACCATTTATAAAATGATCATTCTTTCTAGCTTACTCGAATAATTAAAAACAATCCGCCTTTACAACAAGATGTTTTACAGGAGTTAAAAGTAAGCTTTTCAGTCCATTCTGAAGCAAATAGTAGGACGTCTTCTAAGCCAAAATCATCATCGTTATTTGATTCACAATCATTTGCAGGAACATTCGAGTTTACTCCAATTTTTTCCGCAGAACCCCCAGACGGTGTTTTTAAATAAGGTTTCGTAGTATTACTTCTGAGATCTGTTGAGTTGGACAGATTGTATCGACCACTTATTCGAAACAGACAGGTCTGTGCCAATGAGGTCACATCACGATAAGCTAATTGCTGGTTCGTCATACTACCACTAAACAAGCTCATCATTTTAGTAGAATTGGTGTCAAAATGGAATGTTTCTGAAACTTTAAGGCGAGAATGAACATCGTAAATAAATGCTGAACCGAAAATAGGCTCTAGGTTACCGTCGTCTAATTGCAGCTGGAGAAACTCCGTCAAGAGATACAAAGTTGTATTTGGTTGACTTTTGGTCGGATTGAGTAGCTCAGATGGCCATTTGCATCCAGGGCTTAACTGACGAATTTCGATAGTATCCTTCTAGATCAGGTTGACAAAATATATAATCAAGCAAAATATTACATACATAACGAAAGTAACAAACAACAAGTAAAGTTACAACTTCCTAAGTTGTTGTCCCCAACGAATTTTAACACATATCGTAGGACTACTTAAATTCAGTCACAAGTTCATCATACTGTTAAATGCAATTATGTCTGTTAAGTATTCATAATAGTTTTTATGTTATGGTATCGTCAGCCTAACTAGTTGAACAAACAATAAAATCAGAAGCCTCTAAATAACAGAAACCGAATTGTGTAAAGATTACCAGATAGGAACGAAAACAGAGTACAGAGAAGATATTTTGTAAAAAGATTCAAAGTTTAATACGGACCATGAAGCAGTTGTTAACTCTGAACTGTGGAAAGAGACCTTAAAAATACACGTACCTGGAAGTAGACCCATATGTATTAGCGGAAATAAAACTTAATATGATAAAACTAGTGACATCTAAACTAAGCTTAACGAATTGAATTTCATTATAAATATAAAAAACACACATGTTAGACGACATATAAAAGGTGCAACATCAACTTGCTTTTACAAGAAAATCAAATTAAAGCATGCTTACCCACTCCAAGGGTTCGCGTATACCCAGCAGTGACTTAGACAGTGTTAATACAGAACTGCCTGAATACCCGAAAACATTATAATCATTTATTTGGGTGGTGTCATTTTTCGAAGTTTCATTTGTCAAGTTGTTCGGTTGTTTCTAAAATTTTATTAGTAAAAATATCATAAGTCACTTCATGTGCTAGAATTCTTCTTTCAATCAAGTCCAGATTCGAGAGGGATAAACAAGCGTATTTCTTGTGAAACCTTTGCTCGTCATGACTACAAATATTTAAGCCAACAAAGGAACCTACATTTTAAAACACTGTATAGGCGAGTGGTAAGACGAAATGCATTGTTTAACGGTGGGCGAAGCAGAATCTCTAATATTTTAAAAGTTTATTTAATGAATCATGCTTACAAATTATCAGGAACAGGCGACGGGCTGAAAGTTTTGCTGCGTTTCAGGTCGACACATTTTATGGCCTGATTTATCGTTTTAGAATTATATGACATGATCCGAGCAGAATTTACTAAGTCAGTGTTATTGCAATCACCTCAAGAAAACCATTACGTTTGTGATAGTGAAGTGAACATCCTCATGGATATTCAATTAACGAGCTTAAAATTTGTAATCTTCAAATGAAAAACCTAAACAACGTAGAAACGTCCAATAAGTTATCAGTGAGTTTACCTACTTGACTACTTGTAAACTCGTTAACTTGCTTATTATTTGGATTGAGTCTAATAAAGTAAAATAAGCCTGTAAAACGTGACTTATATATAACAATGGACACTGGTTTTGTATGGCATCAAGAAACATATTCTTGAAGTTTTGGAAAAGGAATCACTGTTTGGTAGGAAATCGGACTCAAAGACAAAACGACTAAAACGTACTTTTTAGTTGGATGGCACTCAACATTTATTTGTAGTGTCGGTTATTATGGTAAGCCCATATACATTATTGTAGTTTTCGGACAACTCAATCTGTTCATTCTACTTGAGTCATTCTGACTTTGTTAATTATTAGCTTATCAATCTTGACTGCTTTTATATGAGCGCGTAGGTATGTGTACAATTCTTATCCCATTACTCATCACATATCTGTAACTTATTTTTGTGTGCTTATAAATATTGATTAACGCTTGGTTAAAGGGCTAGTCGGCCTAGCCGCCATTTCCACTGCCCGTCGTTTTGCTTCTCTCTATTCTATTCTCATAGTTCCCCCGTTCGTTTGGCTGGATCAACGATTATACAAAACACATGTGTTCAAAAGTCCATTCTCGTTATTTGACTAATTTAATTCCATTATTGACTAACGCGATTTAAGTCGATGATTATATACGAGTATATGTGACATATACATTTCGAATGCAATCATTCATAAGATCTATTTAGAGTCAGATCTCAGGCAACTAAATATTATTTCAAAGCTGGATAGTGCGAAATATCTATATTTCCAGACAACGAAACTCAGCTTCTCTCTCTCCATAAACTATTACCGTTGAAGTTTTAATCGATATCCAAGTGTAAATGTGAGAAGCATTTGAAAACTTCAGTTTAAGCGTAACTTTGTGCCGATATGAAAAATTTTTACAAAGTTTACGTTTTACTGTCCGTTGCACGTAAAAATTTAGCGTATGAGTACGTCTTAAGGATGCTAGAAGTATTCAGAGTTTGATAACACCTTAATCAGTGGCATCTTTTATAACCCAAACGTGCGAAAAGTAAACAGACTCACAGTTTACCAATCGGTGTACTAGATCTCATCGGGCTCATCACTTTTATGGTCTTATATCTGACTCCAGTTAGATCGTGTGTTGATTGTTATTGAAATATACACGACGCTAATCCTCGCATATAATCATCGAATGTAATCGCGTTGGTGAATAACGGAATTGAATAGGTGGAATACGAGACCGAATTTCGAATATGTATATTTCATGCAATCGTTGGTCTGAACAGAAAATCAGGGAGATGGAGCGAAGGAAGCTAAGAGGATTGAGAGAACCAAAGCTGAAGGACACGCAATGGTGAAGGTGAATGAGACAATTCGATGTAACCAAATGTGAGTTTATATTTGGAGTCAAGCAAAAATAAACTACAAACATGATAAGTCACATAAGAAATACACACACACGCATATATAAAAACTGTGAAAGTTGATGAGCGAATAATTGGCAAGGTCAAAATATGAATCAAGTTGAATGAATAAATTGGCCTATTCAAAATCTAAAATAAACTATAGGGGTCTAACATGACAGCCGACACTACAATCTTCACAGTAGAAATCATTGCTTTCTTAGACTGTATTACAACATTGTATTTAAAACCTACATTTCTATGGATTCATTTATCGTTCGTAAAATCACCATAGTGTTGTTATTGCTTGAAAATAAAAGCATTCTTTATGCGTAAGTGATGCCACGAGGTGGATCATGGTTATTCAGTTATCTATGTTGAACAAACCTTCTGCACAGCTCAGCAATTCAACGGAACATTCTGAACAAAAAAATTCACCGCTGAGTGATATTGAATTTGTGACGGTAAATAAATCTTCGAAATAAATAGTTCCGTATGCTTTCGACATTGACCAAGACTTTATCGGCTTTACTGGACACATCCTAGTTGAAGGCACTCAATCACGCATCCTCATCATATCAAAAACGAGTACTGCACGCAGCGAACCCCCTGCAATTACTAGCCATCTTAGACCGAACGTCTCTAGACATATCGATAGCTTTCCAAATACATTTTTGAACCCCTTAGTTTCTGACTTCTGATTTGATCAGGCTGGTGCACTATAGTTATAAAAGTATTACCTGTAAAGGTATTGCCAAACTCCGAATGCCTGTGGCATCTTCAGATCTGATTTCGTCAAGCTTATTCAAGCCTTAACAGCAACCCTTTTAGTCTGAGAAGTAATTCCTTCATGATCAGAGTACAACGGCATCTCTCTCGAGCAAATTCTTTTCTGTTAAGCATGCGTTTTGTGGGGTTCACTTACTCCAAGCACTTTCGTGTTGTATCTTTTCACTTCCACGTCTCTTTGAATTGTCCTTTCGGTCTACCATCTTTCCTGGGCATTCCACGTTCCTTGATTACTTGTTGTTATGATTGTTATAGAAATAATTGAGCTCGTAACTATCGCGAATCTTGTTTTTCATCATGAGGAGTCAGAACGCTTCTAAATGCAGGTTCTTCATCTCTTCAGCAGTTTGAATGATTTAAATGATTTTTTAGTTCGTAATATTTTGATATGGTTTCCTACGAAATGGAGTTACCCAACTATCGTCTTTTGTTAGGATTAGTAATAACCAGTGAAGGGTTTCATCCAGAGATTTTATACACTGACCTCCATTGACAAAATACGTGTGTCACATATGTTACAACTTTTTATAACATTATAAGCTGACAAATCTTCAGGTTATTGTTAAGCGAGTTATATACGTTTATAGCTAGTGGTTTATAGAGTAACCTCGGCAAACATACAGTAGTATCTGGGACGATGTTTCAACCTTCGACTTATCTTTACGCCCTTATAATCGTGTAGTTATTTTTAGACTCTATAAACAAGCAACAATTGATGAATTGAAGATAATTGTTGCATAAGTTATCTATATTCGTTCTGTATCTTATGAACTCATTTTTTATACATCATTCTCGATTATCGTTTGCGCTGATATAAAACTTGTATTTTTCGTGTCCATCGAAGCCTTTTATGCAGGTAAATTTCCCTGTAATTGTCGTATAACCTAGCACTAATAGTGCACTATTCAGAGATTTAGTTATTAATTCCTATTACGTCTACCCCGTTCTATCCATATGCATGCTTGATAACATGCTTGTATCTTTTTGCTTCCTTAACGTATTCGTTATGTACTCAAAGTGTACGTAGCAGGCCACATTTGATTCAACAGTCTAGCTTGTTCGTATATCGATAATATATTAACCTTTTGTCCTTGTTTTTCTACGGTTATGTACGGATGAATCACAAAGCATTTTTTGACAACCTTTAAAGTTCTCGGGATGGGATCTATCTATTTAAAATGGACGAAGTTAAACTTGAGGTAAATTTTCTAAAGGAATTGCATATAGTATCACCAAGATACGTCACTGCAATTCAGAAGCATATAAATAAAGTTTTTGTGAATGACAGATTATTCAGATCATACAAATCATCTGCATTAAATTTAGACAGCAGTGTAAAATTGTGAGTTAAAATGTCCCGCAGATTCATCGTTATGAGCTCGTTAATGGTCTGACCAGTGACATGAAGTGTATTAAGGCCAATGATTTACTCCTTCATGAAAATTTGAAATGCACATTAGGCCTACATGGTAAACATACAGTTCTCTAAATATTTATCTTTTATGTGTAGCGTGGAGTCGAGTCGTGCTTGACTATGAACACCACTACAATAAGACTACGTGCCAATTAACCAATAAGATCCCCGTAGGCCAATATCTGAAGTCAGATGATGGCTGTAGTCGAGATATATTTGCTGGCGATCTCGTGGTATCGAAAGAATACCGAGATCGTGCCAAAATGAGTACAATTGAGATCGGCAGCAAAAGGTACGTGCGTAGAGTCACAAACCGCGCAGAAGTAATGGGGTCCAATGGAAGGCCAAAATGGCTGTCATTAGAACAGTTAAACAAACGAGCACATTTAAACAATCACTAATACAATTGGTTATAGTAATAATTGTTTTCATCGAACCAATCGCGTTCTGTTGACCAAAGTAGGTCACTACATATGTAACGACCCTACCCGTTGAAATGGTTTGAAGCTATAGGATAGTTTGTAGTATCTGGTTGTTATATCTAGAGTTTATTTTCTCGATGTACCGCGTACAACGTCAGCACTCGAACGCTAGAACCCTCCAAGTCGCACATGACAAAACAGGAGACAGGTGAAAGAAATGCTATTACAGTGTCAAATTTTGCACAAATGTTTGGTAAAAAAGAAATGGTTATTATAGTCATTCAATCCACTTACAGGGGTCCTCAGTATACACCCATTAGGGAACTACACGTAGAGATTCTGGAACATTCTTTTAAAAAATGAATGGATGGAGTATCTTTGGCTCTTTCTGAGCTTCTAAGAGCTTCCCCGAGTTCACCCGCGGGCCGTTTTCACACTAATACTGAACCAAATCCAAGTAGGTTATTCCAGCCTCCAGAGAGACTGGATTATTCACTCTTCTCAAATCATTTTTTGATCTTGTCAGTCGTTCGCTCGTCAACTTTGACTGATTTATATATGCACATCCATGTGTCCGTCACCACATTCATCACACGTCTTTAGGTTATCATTGTCTGGCAAAAATATTGTTTCGTGCTTTATAAAAACGATTTGGCAACTCGCTTTTCTCTTTTCATTCTGAAAGACGAATGCCTGAAATAAATTAATTCAAGGCAACTTCTGAGTACTGCCGTCACACTATCAGGTTTGTCTTGGTAATATTCAAAGTTAATTGGAAGATTTTCGAGTCAATATACTACTTTAAAATCCTCGAAACAGTGTAATTTAGGAGATGTAGAACTAGATGAGCACAAATGAACTTATGGCATTTGGAATTCGTATTATGTGAAGAATCAAGTGCAGAGGCATTTTTAGTACATATAAACACCACAGCCACCACAGCTCAAAAAACAATCAAAATTTATTTATTGTAAGTTTTTTTCTTAGTTTCTCTGTATGTCTGTCAGACTGTGTATGGGATATAGTCGCTGAATTATTTACAATGTACTCATTATTATTAGAATTAACAACTAAAATCGGAACGGACCAACTTGGGTCCTGGAATTATTTGATCGACATGTCGGTTGTGTGTGCCAAAATCAATGATATCTGGAATTCGAACCATAAGTTTTCCAACACCATTTACTCCGCGAAATAATGTGAGGTCCTTATGTCGCATCGTTATGACCAAGTTGACTTTTCCAGTTCCAAATATCTTCTCGTATCTCATACTTCAATTATTATATGTGAGTATATGAGGATATACATTGACATAAAATTTTAGGCACTTCATCGTGTGACTATGACTTGCATTAAAATACAATACGTATTCCTTTTGCTTTCCCTTTAGATTCTTTTTAACCCAGAATATACTCATTAGTAATAAAATAACAACCAAAATCAGAAGAGATTTATCTGATTCCTTGTGATGTATTTACTTTTTGTGACTGGCTTACATAACAACAACAAATTTATTGACCTGTTTCAGCAGACCCTCCATTGATTGTGGAAAGGGAGTTCCTTTTCGAAGATTCGTTAGTTCGAACAATTTTATCTTTGTTTCTTCTGAGTATGGTCTAGTAACTCTGCACTAATGAACTTTATATGCTCTCCTCTCCAGGTCTTTTAACTTTGAAGAATTAATATAATTGACGATTGGCTTCAAGGTTTTGAAATTTCTTGCTTGCACATAAGAATCGAGGGACTTTGGAGTCGTGCATAATTTTTCCGGTAGTTGGTAAATTATCAGGCACTTAAATGGGACAATTTTCAGTGATCAATAAGGAAAGCTGACGGTGATGCATTCTTAAAGTTTCTAGACCCAGGATGAATGATTCACAGTCGGTGATGATAAATCAACATTTAGGAATTGAGTATTTATCATCTCTGCTTAACAAATTACACTATCCAGCAATAGAAGGTTTATGACCAGTGATACCGGAGATGGAAACTTTGGTAGGCATAATAATAGCATCGGGATTTAATGACTACAACTTCATAACCAAAATAATGGGCTTAATATTGCCATTGTCGACAATAAAACCGTAAAAAGCACCATTGATCCGACATATGATCGTTTTTAAATCTGACGTGAATTATTGGGTGTTGTAAATAAGGATAATATATATTAGCATTAGAATCATCCGAATCGGTAGGAGCGGAATGACAAAATTTAGTTTTATCAGTGGCTAAATGCACAGTAGATTTACAAACTCATTGGATGTTTCCAATTTTAACACACTTAAAGCATTTAACATTACGAGGTACACATGAATTACGTGAATGATATTTACCACAGGACAAGCATCTACCAAATGCTTGCTTATCTGTGTGAACCGCTTTGCAATTCCTCAATGAATAGTTGTTTGTATGACGTTGAGTACTCGCGGGATCGGGATGGCGTAGTAATGTAGTGGAAGTTTTGATGTCCTGGAAGTCAATTTCATGCACTACCTCATAATTAAAACACGCAGTTCTAGCATCTTGAAAAGAATACTTCGGCATTTGCATGAGCTTTCTTTCGAGATTTGGTTTATCGATCTCTCAAATCGATAGAACACGCAGCTGTACATAAAGTTGATCATCAAAATTACATTTGGCATCAGTGGGCAATCCAGTAGAAAGGAATTTTTAGTTCGTACAAATGTCACAGATTTATGTTCATAGCATATTTATGCATTCATCCAAATTAGAGTCTTATCAACGTTCATGAGAAACCAGCATTTATACTAAAATGAAAATATCCGAGTGATTGATTTTCGGCAAGTGAGTATTAGCGGGATAACTGCACAAGAATATACCAAAACTTTTTATTGAACATATTGCTTATTTATGACTGGTAAACTTAAAAGAAGTTTTATGGCTTGAACATTTGTTCCAAATGGCTTTCAGGTCGTCAGCTCAAGTGCTCTTTGTTAATGAATGTGTACTTACTCGTGTTGAACGAGTATGGCTTGACTAACCAGCCCACGTCAAGTCACATATTACGATTAAAATCTGACGTGGACTACCCTGTCGTCGTATCCAGGTACAATGGCTACTGTGAAGACTGTGCAACACAAACTACATAATTGCAGAAATATATTGGTGTGAGTGCATGCAATAAATACAGTGAGATCAACTCCTCATCAGTCAGTCAGGAGCATGGAACTGATTGATGCTCGTAGTCTGTCCCTGACAATGACTAGGACCGTAAGACTGCTTGATATTCAGTGATCTAAATGTCCAATGGTTTGAATAGGGTCGTGATGCTTTACTGGCTTTACAGACTTGAAGTGTTCGCAAGGTTCATCATCACTGAAGTTGAATGCAAAGTTTCTTTTTAAACAATAAAGGTTTCGGCATTGATTTATCAGTGAATGCGAAATCCTTCTTCTTCTATATGGTATTTAAAAGCATAACTTGATGATCCTATTCTGGAACAATTTTTTCTATGGTTGTCTTACAATTTAATCATATATCTTCATTTAAATACGTACGATTTCCACTGTTTCCAAGTCACTCCTTCACATATAGTTTTTTGTCTAGCTTCAGCTCCAACAGTATTCATGTGTAGTGAAAACCCTTTATCAAACTAAGTCCATATATTTGTTGACGCGACAGGATAACGAAATTAAGTACATTTTAAGAACACTGCGAAGTAATCAATTTTTTGAGCTTCTAATCATCTTCTGGGTAGATAATAAAACAATGAAACAGCGAGACCTTATTATAAACAATTTTGTTATCAGAGTTTTATTTTAAATGGATTTATTTGTGAAACAATTCTCATTATTAAATGCAAAGTTTATTAATATATTTTTATATTGTCGTATGAGCTATAAAATGAATTCATTAAGGTATACTTATTAAAATGATCTGTTTTCCAATTCATAGGATGATTACATAATTTGAAAAGACTAAAGTTAATATGCGTTAGACAAATAAAGCTATTTTAGATTAAATGATTTTCTATATAAATAAGGTATTCGCCTAGAGAAACATTTTAACCATATTATGTATAATTAAGGAATATGCAATGATTTCATTGTTATATATGTAAATATATTTAAAGAATATATATTTTGATGATGAACAAGTATTTCCTACGTAAAAAATTAATATAAGGAAACAGTGTGATAAAACAAAAATAATGGTAAATAACGTTTAATGGACAGAAAAACTTCATGTTAGATTCATTTTAACTGTGATAATTCGTATCATCTTTACACTGTTAAAATAATGATTGGTTTTTGTTTGCTAATGATTATAACGAGGTATAAATGATAATTATTATGATAATTATAAATGCATTATTTGTACTTTCATAGCACTAACAAGAACAGCTTTGTTTTAATACACCATAACTTCACATAACAAAGCTGCAAACTCTTGTGACCACCTTCCACGAACTCCACGAGCTTCAACATAAACATAACGACCGATTAACGGTTGTCTACAAGGTATATGTAAACGTGGACTGAATATAGCATCATTAATTCTAGTCACAAAACCACATAGACTAGAACTTGATCTGGATAATGCTTTAGTATCGTGGTGACGTGGCTCCGATTCGACATAGATAGATAATCTTTCTAAATTTTCTGAATTTAATTTTGTTTTGTCATCACTGCCGAATAGAGAAGACAGAAGATATCTTCCATCTAAAAAATATAAAATATTTTTCATAGTAAAACTTCTAAATACGAAATAACTAAAAATGATTTCACGAAAATAATGTTTGTAAATCTGTTTTTCTACAGATTTGATCAGTTATGAAGCCAATGTTTTTGTGCACACTGGCATAAGTTGGTGAACTAGCTTATTGATCTAAAGTTATTATCCTATAAATACGGCCTAAAGTTCCTGGAGTCAATAATAATATTCGAGATGATAATTAAAAAAATTCAAAAGCATGAATAAATTTGACTTGGTACATCTGAGAAGAAATATCGTATAGATGTGTATATATCCCAATCAAAATGAACAACTTGATGTAAACTGAGCACCCAATTTTTTATGGCTATACTTTGCTTGAATACTTGGTCATGTCTAAATATAACTTATGTTATTTTGGTAAGTTAGTGGGGTAGTTAATTAGCTTGTTATAAGAAGATATTGTTTATCATGAGGCTGATATACTGAGTCATATAGTTTGTTTATTTTTTTTTATCTGTTCTTGAGTCAAATAGATTACATTACTCGTGTGTAAATGCATTGTTGTAGTACAGTCATAAACTATAGGAAAAATCATTTGATTTCGAGAGCAAACTGTAAATTTGTAATTTATGATATCGGGAAATCATGCAAGTGTCAATCTATATCTTTATCAAGCCCTTGGAATTCATTGAACAAGGGATATTTGGTGTAACGATTGTCCTTAATAACTCACATTTCATATTTTACGGCAAAAATACATGTTTTACAACAGTTAGTTGTTGCTTTGTGGTTAAATAGATCTTTCCAAACGGAAAAATAATAAATTCAATGTACTTTGTAGTTTGTTTACAGAGGAATTATAGAATCATGAACGCAAACAAACACATGTATGAGTTTCTGTAAGCTTTAGAATAGGAAAAATGTAATTCTAGAGTAATTAATCATAATTAATGGGATATGAATCACAGGAATACAGTAGAAACAGAAGAAATGTTATTTGGTGTTGACTGTGGTAACATATATTGGAAACATATCGTTACTAAATTGAAAAAAGAGAGTACAAAGCATAAACGTGAAGATGAATTATGATGATATCAAAATAGTAATCACTTTAAAGTATTCAGTTTAACAAAATTAACTAGCCTCACTATTATTTTATGTGAACACAATCGACTGATAAACTGAATTTATTCAAGTTGACCCCTGCAGTGTCGAGCGTACATCGTAAATTGAAAACTGGATCTTTCGGTGAATTATTACGAACTAAAAATAATTCTTATATTTTATTATTATATTTGTCATGTGCTAGCTAAGAAAGTAAGATATTGTTTATATGATCAAATACAGTTACTTTCATCGGCTCTTAGGGATAATACCTTTTGAGTACTGCCTATATGTACTAATATAAGAATAGGTATAGTTCGTCTTCTACACGTGATTTCATACAAATTCTTATTTTGTGCTAAACCAAATTACGCTGAACTTTCCGTTTAGCTGTATCGTGCTATATCATTATTAGGACTAAGTTTTAATCATCATTTGTTGGCATGTTAACTCATTGGCACGATTTGGGCTATCTGAACTCAGTACGTCAGTGAATGAATAACGGATAAGTAAAAGGTATTGAATTTAGGTTATACTCAACAGTTAAATCGATAAGTATACGAACTCCTAGCTTAATCAAAATGTATATTTCAACAAAGAAATTAGCAATAAAATAACTTATTATCCATAATTATATCATATGTGATTAAATAGGATTATATACTAACCTCTACCATGACCTGCTGTATAAATAACAACTCCTTTTACTTCAATATGCTCCCTGAGATCTACATACCATGAAGGTAATTCAACAAAAGGCCAACGATATTCAAGTATTGTGCATGGATGGGCCGACTTTTGTGTCATTGAGGTTGTGTGTAGAACATTCTGTATACTTCTTTTATTTAAACTATCATTCGTAAGTTGTTTATTATCTGGAGCATCGTTCATTAAACGTTCTGATGACCTCGTTGATAAGGTTGAATTTTTTAAAAGTATTTCTTCACCTGTCCAACCATCAACAGCTAACAATGCCATTCCATCCCTGCTGTCACCCATGAATTGTTCATTGGTCATACCGTTAACTGATGACCATAAAGGTATATTACTAAATTTGAATGCATTTGAATTAACGGTGTTATCTCTTATCCTATGATGAGCCAACATTGGTGGACGTTGATTTTCAGTATACTGAAAGTGTGATGGATTTTCAGGATCAATTACATTCCTTGCTTCATTAGTGAAACCATATGATCGTGATGCTTTATCAGAATCTTGAAGATTTCTTTTACGATGATTTGAAGATTCTGGTGTTAACCAAGCATTTTTCTTGTAAGCAAGATTAGGGACTAGATAAATGAAATTAAACAGCGAGAAAATTTACAGCAAATATTAATCATTCAAATATAAATACCAAAGATGGAAAACTCATATATGTCAAATTTTTACGAGTCAAAATATTAATAGGAGCTAATAAGTAGTACAAGCACCTTGTTAATGCTCCTCTAAGCCCCTTAGGAGTTGCGAAATGAAGATCGCGTTTCATAGTGACGTCAACTTCGATAAACTCTAATGTAAGTGGTCAGCTTCGACCTTGATCAGTTCATTTATTGAGTCCATAGATTTTTTAATAGATCACTTATGAAGTCGCTTACAGATTTATAAATATTCAAGCATTACACAGTAGGTATTCCCAAAAGTAAAGTTTATACCTTACATTAAGTTCCATAGCATTCTAATCTTGGTTTGCTAAAGACACTTATATTTCTATAGTACTCTACAACTTTTGTTTAAGAAATAAATCATCCAAATCACTTCCAAAGTGTATAGGCTAAACTGCTTATAAAATGTCATGATTTCTGAGAGTTGTATTCTAAGCCATTCATACGTGACAACCGGATATCCAGTGTTCAGCGAAATCGACTTTGTAAAAGAGGAATTTTCCCAACCTAATCCAAAACAACTTGCAATATTTTTAATTATATGACAGTTTACAGCTAGATAGATCAGAAATATACCATCCGATCATACTTTTCACAATGTTATTTTATCTAGATTTTAATTAATTTATTGCATTTCTGTGAACCTGTTAGTATTTTCAGGTTCTCACGTTCCTTCTAATTTTTTCCCACTCTTCATATATCGAAGAACTATACATGGTTTATTGATCACTTTTCTTCCAGTTAAATACCTGTTTTTATACTAATTATGCCACCTAATACATTTTCAGTAGTTAATTTCTTTCTCAATCATTTGTAAGCAATAAAAATTATTTTATTGTTATCTATTAATTCCATTTACGTGAATACCTAAGTTTGATTTATTTATTATCCGTAATTGCACCTTCCTAACATTTCTAACAGTTCTTTTCGGTTCTCTCACATTCATTAAAAATTTACTGCTTAGTAAGAGTTTCCATTCTTACGTTCCTTGTTCCTTGTTCGATTGTTGTCTTCCATTATGGTTGTGATTCAACTGCAAGCTATTTAACGCATGCAATAAAACTTTAGAATACAGTTTTATTACGATTTTATATTATTGCAGTAAACGACTTTGATACTTCGAGAAGTGAGGTTTGTAAATAAAATGTATGTATTCTTATAAATACTGGGACTACATATAAAATAAATTTCTCGCATCTTACGCGTAACCTAATTATGCAGTCAGAGGATTTGAAAAGATCGACATGTTCATTAGTATAAAGTGTAAATTCTACTTTCACAATTCACGGAATAAATTACACCGTAAAACATCATTTAATCATTCTTAAAATTATTCAAACATTCAGAAGCACCCGTTGGTGTTCACGAAGTAAGAGAGTTGAAAGCATGATAGTCTAGAATAAACCACTATAAACCACTTGTATAGATGGTATAATTAATGTTAAAAGTTATTTAGTTATGAAAGACTAAAAACAAATATTGGCATATATTGAATTTAATATCTTTAAAATGCTTTAAATCTAATACAACTTACCACAAGAACTTTCATTGTTAATTCTAAAGAAACCAGCAGTACATGAACCTTTCTGTTTACATCCTAATAGACCAACACGCATTGCAATACGACTTCTCCATATTACTGGATGTATACGTACATAACGTGCAATAAATGGAGTAGCCAAATAATGAATACGTTCAGTTATTTGTTCATTATTTCCATCGAATATCTTTAGTAAATCATGTATAATTTGATTGTTATAAATGTTAATAGAATGAAGCAAATTATCAGAAAAAAAATCGATTATTTTCAACATAGTAATCTTTTTATTTTGTCACAAAAAAAACAAACATGCGAAATTGTAAAATAAATAAAATTTGTCACTGATACACAAGAAAGCAAAACTAAGAGATTGAGCAGAAATTAAAAAAAAAATAAAATTAATAAAAGGCATACACAATAAAATAAATACAAATGCGCGAAAATATACTTCAAATAAAAAGAATAATAAACTAAATTTTAGAACATTCTGTATTTTCCATTTGAAATCTACATGCTAATTATTCTATATATAAAAGTTTGTAATAATAATAATAAACATCTAATATGTGGTTTATTATCATTTGCTTACAATCATATATGAATTAAAGTGTAGCAATGAGGTACAACATAAATAAATGATAAATAACCATGAAATATAATCAGGTCAATACATTCTACTACATTTGTTGTGTTAAATTTATTCTAATTTATTAAATGAACCATTTGCATGAAATATCGTATTGATGCGGTTATCACTCTCATCTTTATATATGTTCTTGTACTATTTAAGTATAAACTTCTCATAGAAAAGTACTTCGAAATTGAATGTGATTTATGGGAAATGTGTGTGGTGTGCGCTACTTATATTAATATAAGTAGTATATGACGTTAGACAGGGACAGAATGTCTGGCAACAGGGAAGCAAGATGACTGAACAGTAAAGAATGGAAACAGAATGAAATTTGTATGAAAGTACAAGCACAATGTAGTCTGGGCCATTTTGAGACAATTGATGGTCATTTTGCAAATAGAGCTTTTACTATATGGTTGTTAGTTTTTATTAACATGTTCTGTAATCGTTTGTCTAATGTGTTCGATTATCCCCACTCGCGTTCTGTTCAACAATTTTTCAGAAATATACTTAGTCTTAGTTCAGTTGAATTGAATGTTGTTTATTTTTTAAATTTAACGTTATATTGACAAAATTTGGAAAAAACAACTTATTTCAATTTAGATTGTGGTGATAAAACCATCATATATGGTATGAACAGGAATTACACAAAGAAAGCACTCAAGCGTGAAATGCCAGTACCATAATACCATTACATTTTAATCAAAAAAAATACGAAAAGTCTAAAAAAGTTGACGAATATAACTAGAGAATATTTTGAAAACATTACTTAGTCGAAAGTTTTCTAGTTTAAAGTAACAGATTTTCTTTTCATGTGGTATTTTGCAAACAAAACAACTGAATGTATAGCACTTAGTCGTTTATCAGTTTTTATAAATTTAGGAGTGTAGTTACTCAATCTGAGTTGGCATGTGTTCACCCTATATAGACGTAACTGACTACTCTCAAATAAGACTAAAGGTATGGAATGGATTAACCGAACTTCTATCAAATCAAAGAGTACAACTTAACCGAATATTTTTTAAAATATCTATTTACATTAATGATTATTAGTACCCAATATAATTGTTGTGGCATTTGATTTATTAAATTTGCGTAATTATATTTAGTACATTTGATATTTTCCCAAGTAAATCAATTACCTATATCAGTAATAATGTCCGTGTCGGGTAGAGACAGGTATTAACCTCAGTACAATAAAAGATGATCGCGCAATTTAGTGGATTGATTGATGTTAGACAGTAACATCACTGGATGCCGGCTCAGTGATCCAGTAAGTTAGGCGTTCGCGCGCGAGACTGAAGGCCCTGGGTTCGAATCCTACCAGCGAGATCGTGGATGCGCACTGCTGAGGAGTCCCACAATAGGACGAAATGGCCGTCCAGTGCTTCCAGGTTTCCAACGGTGGTCTAACATCAATCGGTTCATGATCTCAATCAAAAACTTAATAATCCCCACAATCCCAATACTAATAATGTCCCGTGTAAGTTGCAGAATCCTCATACAGTTCATATACAAATTAACCGATTAATTATATAAATGTTACAGTGAAGCTGAACACTTGTGCTAGATTAGAAGACCTAAGGTGGGACTAGAATTAATCAAAAAATACACTTCGAATTCAGTTGGTTATTGTAGGAAATAAAATTTTATTCAAACAATAATGATTAGTTTATTTACAATCACTTAACAGTTTATACACACTTTCAATCCAGTCACATTTGTATTTTATCATTGTATCAATTGAGAATTGTACATATTGGGCAACTATTCAACTCTTACGGCTACAGATTTATTTTTACAGTGGACAATCGATTACGAAATCACTACTCATCAAAAGACAATGTTAATGTTAGTAATATTGATAATAGAGTTATCCATGGGAATAAGCCTTAAATAATACAGCGGAAATCTGAAAATTCAGAAGGCTTTGGATAATAAAACAAGATTAGTATGTTACATAGCTAAAAACTTAAAAGACAAGATACATAAACCAATTCTTCACATGATTTAATTTATTGTTTAAGAGTAAAGAGAAAATTTTTGGAAAAGTTCTTTCTCTTAATAAAATGACAATTTTTCGGATATCAGTTAATTGAAAAATAGGAAATGGTTAAACATTAAAAATATGAGTTTATAGTGTTTAGTTTGTTTCAAATACAGAATTTAAATTACATCTTATCTACTGATGACTTTTGTTTATTCTTAAATAACAAAGTTTATTCCTCGTAACAGCCAATATATTTGTGAATACATTAAAGGAAAATCTAATGTAATGAATAGACCTATTTGAATAACATATTAAATGAAACGTTTGACTGATAATGTGACCTGAATTGATGTAAAAGTTTCACGTATCAACACATATGTACTTTCACATATAATAATAAATCAATGTTAGACGAATTACCAATTATATGTTTTTGTACCAATTCGGAATTTAAAGTATTATACACTGAGGATCTTTATAACCTGAATTTATATAATATAGTGATTATTACGTGAGGCAAATATAAGAGTATTGATTGTGGATTAATTTGAATTGCACCAACAATGAAATTTTATTTATTTGAATAATAATAAAAAACCATTTGTCATTAGACCAGACATCACTTAGCGATTAATAGTAAAGTGTATATATTTCAACATAACTGATATGTCTAATTAAACTAGTCTAGACAGTTTTACGGGTTAATTAGAAATTTTCTATAATAAATTTCATCAAACGTAATCCTAATTAGATCTTTGTAAATTTAGGTGAAGACATTATACCTCTTTATTCATAAAGTCTGTAAGAAATAATTAACTGAAAAGTTATATTTACATGTTGGAAACATTTGTATTTTCTTCATATGTGAAATCATATTGTAATCGTGGTCAGAATAAGCTACAACATTTTTACACATCAATCTTTCAGTTTTCAAACAAACTCGATAGTGAGTTTTTATTATTCTTATCATTTACTGAAATGAAATTATCGAAATGATAATTTAAAGACAATGTTAGCTATACTTTTGTAAAGGTTCAATATCAATGCTAAATTAGTCAATCTTATTTCTTAAAAAATGGATTTACGTTAATTAGTCCAGAAAGAAGAAATGGTTGGTACATGATTTCAATGTAACTAACAAATAAACTTGATTTCTTCATCAACATAATTAACTTCTGTTGTTTTAATGTATTAAATAAATTTGGCTTTTCATTGTTCTGTTTATATGAAATGTAAAGGTTAATGAAAATCGACTAAACTAAAAACTAAATCACTCTGTCTGAATAGTTGAAGACTTTACCCTACTAAAGTCAGTATTGTTTGTATACTTAAGATGATTGTTGAAAAGATCCAGAGAACTCGAAAAAAAAGCCAAAAAGACTTTGAAAATATCGAGAAGCATCTTATCTAGTCAGAATTCAGCAGACGTTTTGTCAGAAACATCTAGAAAGTGAAAAGTCATAAGTCGAGTTTCTGATTGGATAGTTATATATACTGCTATTATGTTTAGTAGCGTTCCAAAATTTTCCAGAAACCCAAGGCCATCTAAAATGCAATGAAAACTCTAGATTTTCTGTACATAAACGAGCATTTATAATAAAGCGTGTAGATCTAAGCTCTGGGTTACTAGAGGAGATTAGGAACCGAATTTAGCATACAATTAGAAGATTTATCAATAATAGCCACTTTTCACTCAAATAAGTCAGATAAACAATGTTTATTTCATTTCATTATTTTACATCAGCCTCTTCCTGATAAACTAGTTATATATCAATTACAAACTCATAGTTAAATATTTTCTAACTGTTTTCTTCACTATTTAACCGTAAACTAAATATGTACAATTTTAATGAGTTATAAGGTAAAATTGTTTAACATATGCATCTGATGGAACTAAAAATATTGAAAATAAATATTCACTAGACCATGCAACACAACTGAAAAATACGATTGAACTAAATGCGAAATGAAGTGATTAAGTTAAATTAGGAAACTTAATAAACATTTCCTATTTGAAAAAGATTATATATATATATATATAATATTATAATTAGTATTATGTGATTAAATATTGTTTTTACTTTATCAGATTTTATCTTATCATCTGTTTCTTTCATTTTTTGACTCCATTCAAATGACCACACAGTAGACTTAAAACAAAAGTAATAACAATTTTCATTCAATGTTGAATAACAAAAATAAAATGGTAACAAGCAGGAAAATAAGTAAATAAAATGAAATTAACAACAGCAACAAGAGCAAAAAAATACCCCAAATAATAAAAGTTTTTCATGAGGGGGTGGGGATGAAAGATAAAGTGAAGCATAAACCATAAAATCATAAATGAAGATTTTATATTTCAATGAAATGTTAATAATAATTATAAACATATTGGTGATAGTGTTTTAAATTCATGCGATAAAATAAGACACAAAGAAAAAAGAAAATAATTTAAATTAGTTAATATTATATTTGAAAACTTATTTGATAAGTTGGTTTCCTTTTTTTTTTGTAAAGAAAAAATAATCTGAATTTCCGACTTAGTTTTTTAACATAATAAAAAAATAATGAGTACCTCAATAAAGGAATAGTCTGAGTATATAAACTTATTTAAAACATCTTGTGATATTATTTAATATGAATAAATTTCATGTACCTGATGAATAGGTTTTCAATTAGATATAACATTGATGTCCATGGATGAGGAGATAGATATGTCAGTGTTCTAATTATAACATATGAGTCTTTTTGATTGAACTTAAACATATAATAATACTGAGTAATAGGAAAATAATTATCATGTGATATGCAAAATTAAGCATAATATAATTATCTTCTGGAAGAGAATTCATGAAATAGAACTTCCTTTTCTGTGGTAGTTTTGTAGAATCGAAACAATTACTATTTAAGTTCTTTGATAGGACTCTTCAGAACACTGAAGAGTAATATATGATCAGGACAGAACTGTAAATATTAACGTTATTACTACATATGAATCTTATCACAGGATTTAAAGTTGTTTAGAAACAGTGTCAATAAACTGTAATCTAGTTGAGTTACTGACAACCTTTGGGCGTCATTAAATTAAATAAACGGAACTAAAGATTAATCTTATTTTCAACGAACAATTTAAAAGTGTCTAAGATATCAACCTATCCAAGTTGTGTAAAAAATATAAAAGTTAGACGACCACTGATTTTTAATGCTTATTGGCTAAGTAGAAACTGTAAGGAAGAATAAAGGAATATGTAACACCAAGTAAGATATGATTACTATGATAAATGAAACAAGAACTGAGTAATTTACTTGTTAATTTACTGTATTTATCTATTCTAACTGATTCTGAATCATGTTATCAATAATGTTTTATGGAGTTAATAAAAACAATTTGAATTATTCTCTGAATGTACACATTGACAGTTTTTATACGGAATATCAAACGCACAGGCATTATTTCTATAGTAAAGATGCATTCTTGAAAGAATGTTTGTTTTGACAGTAAATAAGATAATACTTACCACTTACTACTATATACTATATAATAAATATAATAAACCAGAGAGACCGGTCAAGAACAGCGAAGGCAAGAAAATCACTAAAATTTAAGGACAGAGGAACAGATTGGTAGAATACTTCCAGAAACTCTTGAATAGACCAGCTCCAGTGAATTCACCGTATATCGAAACAGCACCTATAGTCCATCCTATAGATGTCTCTCCACCAACAATCGAAGAAATCAGAATGTCTATCAAACAAACCAAGATTGGGAAGTTAGCACGACTTGTCAACACACCGACGGAAGCACTGGAGTTAGAAAAAAGGTAACTGCAAGTATGCTCCACATCCTATTCAGAAAGAATTGGGAGGAAGAACACGTACCACAGATAGACTGAAAAGATGGGTAACTCATCAAGATACCAAAGAAAGAAGATCTGGGCAAATATGAGAATTACAGAAGGATCATATTACTGTCAGCAACAGGAAAGGTATTCAACAGTGTTGGTGAATAGGATGAAAGACTCAGTAGACCGCCAGTTCTGAGATCAACAGAACAGATTCCGTGAGGATCGATCATGCACAGTACAATCCGCAACACCACGGATTGTCGTTGAACAACCAGTTGAATGAAAGGCATCAATATACATCAACGTCCTTCATAACGATAATGCATTTGACAGTGTGGATAGGAGAACCTTATGAAACCTTCATCAACACTATGGTATTCATGAGAGAATCTTCAACATAATGCAGAATTCATACGATGGATTACACTGCAAAGTCGTGAATGGTGAACAAATGACATACTCATTCCAAGTAAGGACCACAGTCAGACAAGACTACCTACTCTCCCACGGAATACAGTAGACAGCTTGGATGCAGCTAGATGATTTTCATTTCGTAGATGATCTAGTCCCTCTATCCAATACACATCAACAAATGCACATCAAGACAACCAGTGCAGCAGCAGCAGCCTCTGTATCGATAGGCCTCAACATACACAAAGGAAGAAGCATGAACCTCAAATACGACACAGAGAACGCCAACACAATCACACTTGATGGAGAAACTATGGAAGAGGTGGAATCTTCCACATACCTGGTCAGCATCATCCATCGAAAAGGAGGATTTGATGCAGATGTGAATGCAGTGATTGGCAAAACAAGGTCAGCATTGCTACAATTGAAGAACATATGGAACTCGAAACAACTGTCTGCAAGCCAACATCAATGCCAGAATCTTCAATGCGAACGTGAAGACAGCTAGTTATATTGTAAGGGTCTGAAACTTGGAAAAGTATTACAGTAGTCTTCATCAAAGGGGTACAACTAATTATAAACAATTGTCTATCTAAAATACCCAATGTTCGTTTACTGGATACAATTAGCAACAGCCTACTGAGGTAAAGAACCAACCAGCTTCCATTTGAAGAGAAAATTACGAAAAAACGACGGAGATGGATAGGAAATACACTATAGAAATCCCCAAACGGCATCACCAATCAGTGAATAGTAATCGGAAACAACTGGAAAGAATTGCGGAGGATAAAGTTGGATAAAAAGTTCTCACTTACTGATCAAAAGAAACTTACTCTAGGATCTAGAGGGGCTGCATCCTTGTAAAAGTACCACAAGCGTGTATCATTACTGTAAGAGAGCTTGAAACGTGTCACATATTGCGAATTTTTCACATCTCCTCGTGATTTCAAAATAACTCCAGTTATTAATGTTGGTGGTCCAACGTCTATTTGAAGCCATTGCAAAGCTGAGTATTTTTAAAAGATATGAAAGACAATGTAAAATAAATTGGATTTTGAGTGAAAACATTTTTTAACAAACAAGGATAAATTATTTTAAAAATTATTTGACATTTGTTATAACGGACTAATAATATAGTTGATGTAGTTTGCTAAACAAGCAGTAAACGAGAGTCTGTAAAGTGGTTTTTTAGATAATAATGATTAAGCGTCCTAAGTGCTGTGTGAGCCTGTTAAAAATTAAAAACATATGAAGACGCACAAACTCATATTGTTCATCAAAATTATAATTTTCAGTGACATCAAACAATCGAAATGATAGTGGTTTGAGTTCCAAACCCATAACCAGCTTATATTTTAACCGATGTCCGAATAGTATTATCAGTGGCCAAAATTTAATATAAACGTAATTGAGGAACACAAAAGCTTAAGTAATTTCTAGTTAGCTAATGAACACATATATTATTTTCAATATGAGACTGTGGAGATTGTTGAATTTCATTGGAATTCTGAAGTACTAGACCACCACTGAAAACAGTGAACAGCCGTTTTTTCTAGTATGGGACCCCTCAGCAGTGAGCATTGATGACCTCGTACGCTGAACTCGAACCCAAGAACTTCGGTTGAGTGCTAACGCTTGACCTAGTAAGAAACCGTGATCAAGGGAATTCAACTGTGTTGAATGTGGGACAGTTACCCACTGGAGATAACGGAAGATAGTCGCACAATATCGCTCATTGGTTAAAGTTAGACATTAACGCCACTGGATGTCGGCTTAGTGGTTTAGGAGTCAAGCGTTTGCGTGCGACTAAAGGTCCAGGGATCGAGTCCTGTGTGCAGTATCGTCGATGCGTACTGCCAAGAAGTTCCATACTGGAACGAAACAGCCGTCCAGTGCTTCCAGGTCTACAATAGGGATTGATTTATGATAACAATGAAGCACATATTGTTGATACATACTATTAGAAATCTAGGATGTATGGATATTTACACTAAAAATATCAAACATACTAAAGAAAAACTAAGAGTTTAAAAAATTTGGCATTAGTATACATGATATACACCGCAAGCCGTTAATTTGTTATTTAATTTAAATACTAGGGAAAACATATCATGTCAGATACATATATTTACAGAAGCCAAGTGCGAATTTTTGTATTTTGTTAAGAGAAGCCACTTTTCTTCAGTATCGCCTATACAATTCATTCATTGTATTACTTTTAAATAGTTCCATCTAAGTAGACATAAAAAAATTAGAATCAAATCGAGCATGGATAATAAAATTATGAATAACCTGATAATTATCGGTTACAGTGAGTTTCGGGACATTTGGAAATACTTACATGTCAAAATTCATGTACACTTGATTAGTAACACACCAATTAACTGAACAGAGCGATGAAAATAATCCTAAATTTAACTGAAATACATTCGGTTTTTCTAGAATTTTGTTCACGCATGAATGGATATACTGGTTCTGCAATATTCATTAATACAAATTCCAGTTTTTGGACTTCTCAGTTGCTAATATATATATATATATATATATATATATATATATATATATATATATATATATATATATATATATATATATATATATATATATATATATATATATATATATATATATATATATATATATTGCTAACGTAAGAGAAAAAGACCTACCATAGTATCATTGATAAACTACAACAAACTGAGGTAGATAAACCTTAAAAAATGTTCATAAATAAAATGCCTGAATTTACATCACTATAAAAATTATTTAAGTCTATCATTTTCATCAATACCTATTTAATGTTTTCCACCAAAGAAAAGTATTTTTGTGATTCATAATATAATTGCATTTTGGTTGTATTAGAACTTGTAAGCTATTTTAAAAGACAAAACATGATGAATAATTTCACGTAGACAAACAATTTTCAACATGGAATTTTAAGTCATGATTAATTAATATCAGAATTGGTTTTTGCAGATATTATAGTAATACCAATAGTTGAGATCATGAGTCATTTGAAGCTGGAATACAACGGAAAACCTGGAAACACGCGACTTCCGTCTCGTCCTAGCGTGGAACTCCTCAGCAGTGCGCATCCAAGATATTACATATGAGATTAGAGCCCAGGACCTTCGGTCTTGTGCGCGAACACTTAATCACTAGACCGCTGGTCTGGCATCCAAAAGTGTTAATGTCTAACTTGAATATATAACGTCAGCCGACTCAGTGGTCTATAGGTTAAGCGTTTGTGCGCAAGACCGATAGGACTTGGGTTCGAATCGCGCGAGTGTGATCGTGGATGCACACTGCTGATGAGTCACACAATAGGACGAAACGGCCGTGCAGTACTTCCAGGTTTTCCATGGTGGTCCAGCTTCAAATGACTCATGATCTCAACTAATGAAATTACGTTGTTAATTGATAAGAAAATATCTGGCATTAGTTTTACACAGTATTGATTATGAAATGTACTTGCAAGAATGTGATTTTGAAGTGGAATGATAATAATATATTTCTACTATCCTGTAATTCATAAAAAATAGTTTTCCTAAAGACTTATTGGAAGGTTAATTATTATATTGTCGGAATAAAATATAACGTATGGTGATTCAGGTTGGCAACTTTTGGTTTACTTAATGATAAAAACTATAGTTTGTCAGTCGTTCTAATAAGCGTGTTTTCAAACTGGGTAGTGGTAGTGATTACAAAGTTGAAAATCACTAAACAATATTTACCTAGATTAAGACAATATTTTTTCATTATAAACCAATGTTGAGTATCATATTTTATACTTTACAGTATCCGCTGAAGCTTTAAGCATTAATGTTCTCATTCTGTCTTTGAATTTATCATCTAAGTCCGGAAAGTTAACTCAGATCATTTCATCATTGGTAGAAAATCTGCTTCCAAGAACTGAGGGGAAATTCATTGATTAATTATACAGAATATAAAGTCACAACTCTAATTAATTAATTATTCAGTATCAAATTAAAAAGAAATTAAATAATCAATGATTTAAACGGATCATTAAAATGAACTGAAACGTATGATATTGACATCAGGCAAAATAGTTTGATATTGTACTAATACATCGGTGGGAATTATAGACGAACCAATCAGGTATAAGATAACAGGTCTCGGATTTTGGCGCGAAATTCACTCATCGATTTAGCAAAATAGATTTTTGAAATTATAGCTGATATCAGTTCGTGATAAAAACACTGAATATAATTCTTACCTTAACCGTCAACAGTAAATCCAATGTGGAGTCCTCACACAGGTTTATAACCCTCATTCGGTCCCAGTTATTAGGTGGACATTATCAAGTTCATTTCATCGTCGCTCAAAGGTTGTCCATAAATTATGGTCTCACCAATACGTTTAACGTACTAGGTGACTAATATCATCGTTAAGTCTTCTTAACTACTTGCCATCATTATTACATAATTTATTTATATTAAAAATAAAACTCAGCATTATATTCAACAATAGGGATAATATGGCTAAAAAAGAAAAAAATACTGGATCGTAATTCAAAACACTTTTATTTTACTCTTTTTTAATTTATAACATTTATTTTTGTAGGACAAAATGAGTTTTATTTATGCACAGTTAATCTAAACAGACGACATTACCTCATAGAAATTTGAAAAAAGCAGCGTAGTTACATTTTTAAGCTTTCAATTATTTGGAAATACATGCGATTTCAGCTGTATTTCGAAATTTTAGTTTAAAGATCTGTAGTGGCTGGTCCTGTGTCGAGCTCACATAAATCATTCTAGCTTCGGGACAGATCAATTTATCCATTCTTCTTGAGTCACGTTTTGACCATGTTAATGATTCGCTTATCAATTTTGACTGTTCTTATATGAGCGTATATGTGTGTACACTCCTTATCCTATTCAGCGCATATCCGTAGATTATTTTTGTGTGATTATAATTATTGATTAACGCTTGGTTTGCACACTTTCTCCATCGCGCGTCGCTTCGCTTCGTTCCTCTGATTGTCTGTCCAGATCAGTGATGGGCTTATTTAATTCCGTTATTCACTAACGCAATACAAGTCGACAATTATATACGAGGACAGACGATATTTATATTTCGGTAGCACTCATTCAATAGCGATCAACATATGATCAAATTGAAGTCAGATCACGGGCCACAGATCATTAAATCAGTGGAGTACTAGAAATTGTCTGTTAATAATATTTCCAAACAAATAACAGTCACTGAATCTTGTAAATGAAAGAAAACACTGGAAATATTTAAATCTACCTATTTAATATGGATAGTGTTATACACTAGCGGAATAATTATCCCTTTTTCTTTAATCCAAAATATATGTATTCAGATTATGTACTTCAATTAAACGAAGGAAAGCAGGAAATTGGTTTACAAACAAAAGAAATCTTATATCTCCTTCAAAATTTAAATTCAGATTGAAAGAATTATTCTCTAGGGAAGCTATACAAAAATTCTGGCCTTATTACCGGGTCGTAAAATCAATTTTTGTTATTATTGATAAATCTGTGGACTATTCCTCAACCTGCAAGGGATATTGAGAAATGTTTAGTCGATTGTTCTCATGTTATTTAACTTCATACAAATTACCTGAAGTTTCACTTGATCATGGAATAGTGATCAGTGTCATGAGTGTTTAGTGCATTAGTGCTAATCAGATTTTATCATTTGATTTATGATAGAGGTCACCAGTCTAAGTCACTAAACATCGTTTGCACAAAGTAAAGATTTTACGTCGTTTAGAATAGTCAATAAGAAACCTTGAACCTTGGTTTCTTGCTGGTTAGAGCTCTCTAGAAAGTATACTTGTAATCTTGTGGTAATTAACTCGGATAACCAGGCTTCATAGTACAAAACACTGCTATTGAGCTATTTGGACTGAGATTGACCTGAGGTTTCTCATAAAATTATATACAGAACTCTGCTATTAATTTACCATCAATATTCATGTTTTAACTTCAACGTTATTCCCTTTGTAGGACTGTG